AGCACATACCTGTTTCATAACAACCCCAGTGATATTAGAACTAATATAAATATTTAGCCATACCCATTTTTTCTTTTCCCCCCATACTTTGTTTAGGAAGTGTTCACTGTTAAGGCTATCAGAAGCAGCTTTCAAAAGCAGTTTGTGGAAACTGCATTCAAAATTAAACTGAAAAGCATCTTGAATCCATCTTTTAGTGGGCTTAGAAGAGCTTAGCTTAGTGGATTGTGTCCATATGATAGCATATTGGACATTCAGGTGTTTTAGATTTTTAAAATATAGTAGGATAGAAAATGTATTTAATGCTCAACTATTAATCAAATAATGGTGTTTGCTTTTGAGGTTAGGGAGCTCAACATCTTACATTAACTTCTACTGATTAGATGCATAACTACTATACATATTCACATAGATTTACAGAAGTGCATTCCTGGGAAGACATAAGCAATAAATGGCAGTGCTTTGAAAACAGTGTGCTAATTTCTAACCTGAAGTGCATTCAATTAAAAGTAAGTAAGTAAATGACTGATATAGAAACCTTGTAATTCTCTACATTATTAAACGTTTGCACCTTACTTTTCTCCCAGACACTGTGTTAAAATGGACATGGGATAAAACAGTGCAGGAACTAATATGAAGTGACTAAGTTACAGGCTACATTGTATTCAATAAGGCTTTTTATAGTTGAGTTAAAAATCAAACAAATGAACAATGCAGGACTATTGAATATTAGACATACATAAATTAGTTTTAGACTTTGTGCTTTCAATTATCTTCTTAAAGATGGGGAGCACAATTATGCTATTCATCTTCTGAACTAGTTCTGTTCACACTGCAGGCATGGTCCAGGCTTCCTACATACGGAGCTCTGCTTAAGGAACCCTGGAGGAGGCCATTTTCAGCCCTTTATCCTTCCACAATACATCTCACATTGTTCCAGAAGAGGTTTTTCTTGGGAGGGAGGAAAATGTCAAAAAATGCTTCCACCTCTACTCTAGGAGCTCTCTCTGTTGGAGCCATGTTCCTTCCATACATGGAATGAGCCCATAATGGTAAAGATTCAGCCCTATATTTTCTTTAAAAGTAGAGCTATTAAATTATTTAGAAAAGATGTATTTTAAATTATTTCCATCTTTTTCTGGTACCAATATTATTTTATTTATATTACCTATCTAGTTGGATTATAGGTTATCACAGCCATTCAGATAAAACCCCCACAATGAAACCCACTCTGTACATCCCATCAAAATGGATGAGTTTTGTGCTCTGTCAGTGGAGGTATTCCTATATGCAGGGCTTTTTTTGTCATAGAACACACCAGAATGGCATTCCGGCACCCAGTTTTCCAATGGATTTTACGAAGTGATTTTGAATTGTAGCAGATCAGCAGCAAACATCATTAACACAGTGCCTGCAGGCTGCTTTTGTGTCTGCTATCTGCTATCTGAAAGTGAGATAGTGAGGGCACTGCTCTCAGATAGTGAGGGCACTGCTCTCGGCTTGGGATGCTGCTCTGCTGCTCGGCTTGGGATTGGTGTGTGAGGTCATGCACTTACTGCCAGCGACGTGAGTTCTGGCACTTTTTTTTTTTTTTTACAAAAAAAGCACTGCCTATATCTATATGTGGATCTTGACAAGCAAAAGCTACTTCAGTGAATTTCATACTGGATAGTTCCGCGCATTGTCAGGAAATGCTGAATGAAATGGGAAGCTCTTTGCTCATATGAGAGATCTGCGTGCACTTTGGAACTCAGAAACTAAGAGATCACTTGGAAGAATATAATTGGGCACCATCATTTCCTTTAAGTACAACTGATGTTAAGGGAATTAAATTGTATGTATTTGTGTACTGGGTTGATTTCAAACACCATAATTCTAAGAACACTATGGTTTTAATGTTATTTTTGTTTTAATATTTGTAATGCATGGCTTTTATTATTTTTATTGTTTTAACTATTTTAATTTTTATTGATTTAACTATTCCCTACTACAAAATCTATTTGGATGTGGAGAGGGATACAAATAATAAAAACACATACAATATTTTAGTAAATTACAGTCAGCCCTCCACATACATGGACGCTGGGCCACAGGACCCCTGCAAAAGTGGAAAAACCATGAATATCTCTACCCCACCTTCAAAACCTTAACTTTGTTGACCATAGGAGTACCGGATTGTTCCTCCCTTTCTCTCTCAGACCTTGGCCGGATCCAGGAGGGCTCCTCTTCTTCATTACTACATTCTTATGCTCTTATTCCCTGCCCTTTCTTTCACTCACCAGCGCCTCCTCTTTGCACCAAGGATTTCCCTCTCCAGGTGGTCAGGGCAAGAAGGCATGCTTCAAAGGCCTTCCTTCTCTCCCCCTTTGCTTCCTCCATATCTATGGTGATGACAATTTTCTGCAGCAGGCCTCAGAACTCAAAAAAAATCCCATTTAATTATTAAAGGCAAACTCACAAATAAAGTTGAGGTTTGGCTGTACTTTGATTTCATGGGATGTTATTCGCTCTGATTCAGAGTCCTGTCAACTGATTTCATGTGATGTATGTGTCCCATTATTTACGTTAGTAGTTATACATAACTAAATTCAGTCAGTTTGTTTTAAATGGAAGAAATACTTTTTTCTTTATACATTTAATATCTGGATTCACATCTATTTTGACAGCAGTAGCTGTCGGTAGCTGTCATACCTTTCAAAATACAGAATCATTTCAAATATTGAGAAATTCATTGGTAAGTGAAATATGTTATCTTTAAATATTTTCTTTAAAACTACATTAGAAAACAAGATAATTTTAGATGATCTTTAAAACTACATAACAGGTCCTATGGCCCCTAGACAGCGTCTAGGGGATCATAGGGTTGTTCAGATTCCCAGCACTGACCTTGGTGCTAGAAGCACTCAGAGGGCCCTGCCTCCACCTCCCCAGCATGCATGGAAAGAACCCTATTGGATATGTCTCCAAGGACATAACAGTGACCTCAGAGAAGGTGTTTTGGAGGAGGGGACTGTTGGTGCAAAGATATAATGTATCCTGACAGCATGTCAAACTCCTTCCCATGCACTCCAAAGTGCTGCAGTTATATGGCCAAAATCATCCATCTGGCTGCTTTGCAGGAGGGGGAGCAGCATCAAAGCAACCTTTGCCTTGTGCTCCTCCTGCCCATAATTGAGTTCATAGGGTTATGAGCATCCTCACTGGGCATAGCCCTGAATTTATTGAATTATTTTTTTACATTGTGGTATTAATTGCCAACTTGCCATTAAAACAGAAGTATCTAGAATTCTGTCAGTAAAAAAATATACTTTTTATAAAGCTAAGTTAAAATCTCATGTTTCTGAAGAATGTGGATTCATGTACCTCTATAAAGTACTGAAAAAATTGTGCTTAACTGTAAGGAACCCCAAATCGTACCAAATTGCTCTAACTTGGCTTTTGAAAGTTAAGGTGAAGAAAAATCTATAGAATATAAAACAGATGTTTTAGGACAAGGGTGGGCAGGAGGTAGATTAGGATATAGGGTAGATCTTTGGATGATTTGCAATAAAACAGCAATGATTTCTAGTTGTTTAAATGAGGGCTCTCTATGATCCTAAATTATACTTCAGAAGCAAAGAAAGCTTGGGCTACCAAGAGAGGACTTACAAGAGAAAGGCCTATGAACTGAGTCCATTTTTAGATCAACAGTTCTTGGAATCAGAATTCTTTAATTTCTTGGGTTGAATCCAGCTTAGAGTAGAACCACTGAAATTAATGGGATGAGAAATGGCCAACTTCCTACTGATTTCATTTGGTCTGATTTAAGCCCATCTAATTCTCAGTCCAACTCAATCTCTTTTCCACCAGGCTTCAGTTAGCAGATCACATAGAGCACATAGACCTACCTTATTCCAGCAAACTTTGAACAGTGTTTTTTCCCCAGTCAACATCTACATTGAAATCAGTGGGTTTATACATGGAGCAAGATGCAAGATCTTAAAGGCAAGAGCATCAAACTAGCATGCCTGGTGATCCCTGCTCCCCTTTCCAGCCCAAACATTATATACAGATATTGCTGAAATGGATTCCACTTGGCGAGAACAAGTATGTTCTTGGGCATTCCACATTCATTTCAGTTCCCAGTTTCCTAGAAAAGTGTAATCATTGTATGAAACATATTCCAAGTTGAAACAATTATGTGTTGACAGTAGTGTAAGTTTGGCTCTAGCACACTGGATTTCTAAACAGGAGGTGCTATTTTATGTCAATTGAAAGCTAAATGTTAGAAAGAAAATGTGACAATTTCACACACATTTAGGCAAAATGTTGGTATGAGCCAGCCAATTTCAAGCATTCTTCAAGACCCATTAATGTATTTTAAAAATATTTCCTTCCTGCTCCTACAGAGGCTCCTATTGGTCTCTTATTCAAGGAACTGATTAGATCCATGCCTGCTTAACCGCAACAGTGCTGCAGCATCAGGAGCTGCCAGATCACTAACTGGACTCCAAGCCCCATTAATTTCAATTGGAAAGACGTAAGAATATACTTAATACACCCACTGAAACCAGTGGGTCTTCAATATGCCTAACATAGGCTGGATTGTGCCCTGTATTCTTAACAGTAGATCCTGTGATATAGTGTACGTGGGCAATTGTTCTGCAAAATGTGAAGAATCATGTTGATCCAGCGAGGGGTATGATACATGCAGACACAGGTATTGCACATATATCCTGGGATGGGTAGATGGTCGCACATGCGAATGTGCGCTGTGTGTACAGCTGGACCTGCACCCATGGAACCCTTTCAAAACTATTAAATTCCCACTGCTCAGCTGTTTGGGAGAAGAATGGGAAGCAGGAATCAACCTCTTCTTTCCCTTCTGCTTCCCCACTGAAGAAGATGGATTAAAAGTTTCTTGAATAGTTTGAAAGGCTCTGGGCATGCACTTTTGAATCAGAGGAAAGCCTATTTAAGTAATATATATACATCTAAGGAGACATACAGAGAAAAACATATATGGTCATAGATACATTTAGAGTTTAAAAATCAATGGAAATAAATTAAGAATTTACAAATATCTGTACAGATGATTAAATAAAAAATAAGTAGGGGTTTTCACTTGAAATTAGCATAATCAGAAAATATATCGATGAAATCTTGTACCACTTTGTAGCAGAATTCATACTGTTCCTGAGAGAGAGAAAGAGAGAGAGAGAGAGATCAATTGATTGATTATGGGCACCTTGATATATTCTGTTATCTCCCAGCTATAATTAGTCCCATGTTTAACACTTAACTATAGCATCTGCACAACATAGCAAACAGGTAACTTTTAAAATCTTTTAGCATTTTGTGAAGCTCTCTTAGTTACTGACTGCAGCACAATTCATGTTCCAGTAACCATTACTAGATTAAGACTGCTAATTCTCAAACATAACAAAATTCCTCTCGATGTTTTCACTGAAGCAGCAGAGCTTGAAAGTGAGGTGGATGAGTCTAACATTTTGTAATGAATATTAAATTGTTTGATATCATTGAACTGAATATGACTGTAAATAGCAATTTTGTGAGATGTCACAGGCAAATCAGAAGCTTTCCCATTTGTTCTTATTTAAGTTCTTTATATTCCAGCTTTTACAGCAAGCCCTCAGAAGGCAATCAAGAGACCTCTTCAGGCAGACCTATCTTTCTATGGTAATAGGAACTATGCTTTCTATTCCGGGAAGAGAGGATCAGTGTTCAACAGCCATAGGGATAACTACAACCTAAAACTGATAATTTCTGGAACTGGAAAACCAATATTCTTGTTTGGAATAAATGCATAAGATTTTTTTTAAACAAGTGTGACAAGCAAACAGAGCAAAATGATCAGCTCTGAAAAATTATCTCCTAACATACAGGAGACAACCTGTGCTGCAGTTCCAGGACTGCAAAATGGCACACATGGCTTTTCTGACCTGAAGGGCAGCAATTCAGGGGGCTGACTCTGACTCCCCAGGCCACTGCACAAACACCGCATAGGGCCTATATAGCAATGCCAAATTCCCCAGTAGCATCGCCCTGGAGAAAGAATTAGCTCCCAGTATTAGACCAGCAGGCCTGGGTACTGGCACTACATGTGCATGCGCAATGACAGTTCTCTGTTGTTATGCTTAAATGTTTGGGACAAAATGTGCAATGTTGTGCCAGAACTGAATAGTGCAGGAAGGAGAAGGGTTACTATTAAGAGACAGGTGGAGCAACTCAAAGGTATGGAAGAGAACAATGCAGACGATGGACTATCTACATCCAATCATTGGAAATAACTGGCTCCTCACACATTTATACAGCTTCCTTTAAAAAAAAAAGCCAAGATTTGTCAGAGCCCATAGAAAATATTTCATTTCATTTCATTCTATTCTATTGTTATATTGTAATTTTTATTTTTATACTGTAGATCTTTATGATGTTTGATGTTTTTAATGGTATTGATTGATTCATGATAAATCAGTAAATAAAAAATGGGAGTTTGCTCATGTCATAGTGCTTCCATAGTGTCACAGTGTTTATATTTCATTAGTTTTCCCTAGAATACACATAAACACATGTAAGCTAAACAGGCGTTATGTCTTGGAAATTGCGCTCCCTCAGTTATGCCCAATGGTGTCATTCCACTACTGCAAATGATGTTAAACTAGAGGAAAACAAGTTCTGAACTACATGCAAGGGGAGAATCCAGCTAAAATTCTGCTTGTGGAACTGGTTGCAATCTCAGGTTTCAAAAGCATTATATTAGCATTTCACAATGAGGTAAGGTAGCAGAGTTCCAACAGTGCATCAGTTTCGTTTGTTAACTTTATGTTGTATTTTGTCCATTCATCCTCATTGTGATCCAAGGTATAGTAGGGACAAGACAGTTGGCATGTTGGATGGGAAAAGTACTGTTGTAAAGGAGGCAATGGAGAGGTAGGAGAGGCAAAAGATGGGATGGGGACTGAAGTGTCCCTCTGCCTCAAAGTCTAGGAGCAGGAAGTAGACAGAATTCTTCAAATGAAGTCCCAATAGAAAGTCCTCAAACCTTAGCTCAACATAATCTCCTACAGTTGATGGCACAGTGAATCTGAAAGTTAGGCATAAAAGCAATATAGTTCTGCATCATTAAAAAGGGATTTGTTCTCTTTTTAAAAAGAGAATATGGGGTTCTCCACCTTTAATGAACTATTACAACATTAAAATTTGTGTAGGCCTGAATAAAACTTGTGAACTTGTAAGGCTACCTAAGTGGCCTGACAGTTTAGTTGGAATATGGATCTGGTTGTTCAGAAAGTTTTATTTATATTTTTCTGAGGCTGGGCCCTATTTTTACAGGTAAACAATAAAGAAGCTAACTGGCTAGATTTGATTGAGAAAGAGCAAGTTCAGAAGAAACTAATTTTCTTATACCAAAAACACTTTGAACAAATGAATAAACCTGGGAAATATCTAGTTGTACTACCTGAAAAGAGAAATGGGGAAGAGATAGATAATAGGAGTAAAAAGGGAACTAGAATCACTAGTTCATGTGGAGAAAGAAACACATGATCAGTTCAAACTTTTTTTTCAAATTTGTATAAAAAAAGCTTAACTTCAGAAGATGGAATGAAGCAATACATAGAAGAAGCTCATATTGATAAGTTCACATTGAATCAAAGAAAAACACTAAATAGCACATTTACCATTCAAGAAATCTTGCAAGTTATAAAAAGATTTTAAAAAGATAAAGCACCTGGACCAGATGGTTTTTCTGCAAGGTATTAAAAGTGCCTAGAGGAAAATTTAATACTGCCACTTCAAAAAGTAATGAATGAAACTAAAAATGAGAGAGCATTACTCATATCAAGAATATAACATTGATACATAAAGAAGGCAATGATCCTGCTCTATCAGACTTGTAGACCTATATCACTATTAAATATGGACTACAAACTCTTAACTTTAATAATGGATGAAAGTTTTAAAATGTATAGAAAAACAAATCCAAACAGACAAGACCATATTTGTACCAAAGAGATTAATGAAAGATGATGTCTGCTTTGTGATTAATGCTATTGAATATACTAAGAAGAAGAAAGTGGCATTTATTTTCTTAGATGCAGAAAAACTCTTTGATGACATGTTTTGGTCTTTTTTATTGAGAACTCTTAAGTATTTTGATTGTGGTTCACGATTTTTGAACTGGATCCAAGCAATTTATACCAAGCAACATTCTAAGAGTCTTATAAATGGGATGCTAACCGATAGCTTCCAAATGGAAAAGGGGACCTTTCAGGGAAGCCCATTATCTCCACTTCTATTTATCATTGTATTGGAAGTTCTAGCTATAAAAATTAAACAAGATTCAGGCATAAATGGCCCAAAAATAGACAAAGAATGTAAAAGGAAAAGTTACACAGATGACATAGAGTTGTCTTTCCGAAACCCACATTTATCAATACAACAAATAATAGATAAAATTGAAGAATTTGGACTTTACTCTGGTTATAAAATAAACAAAAAAGATGAAAAATATATGTAAGTTTTTAACAGAACAAGAAGAAGAATATAAAAAATTTCAGGATGCAAAATAACCTCTAATCCAGTTACATACTTGAGAATAAATCTGACAGGACACAAGACTACATTATTTCAAGCTAATTATAAAGCAACCTAGATAAAGATCCAGAAGGATTTACAGAGATTGTCAAAACTGATAGATTCATGGTTGGGAAGAATTTCTATCATAAAAATGAACCCTTCTGAATGAACAATTATAGAATTGTATAACATGGTTCTTAGAATTTAAGTAACCTGTATTCAGTAAATGTTCATATGTATTTCCTTGGCTGGGAAAAAGGAAACAGTCCTGTGTTTGGCAAGCAACATACAGAGAAAATAAAATAAAAATCTGGACCAAAGTCAAGTTTCTATTTTCTTCACTTAGAATATAAATGCCCTAGTATCCTCTGACAATTATTTTTGTGGATAAAATAGCATACCAGTGTTTGCACCATATGTGGTCTTTGCAGTCGTAAACTCTTCACAGCTTGAAATACATCTAAGAGCCCCTCAGCTTTGACTCGCTCCAGAATATTGCTGAGTGCTATGAATGTACCTGTTCTTCCAGCTCCAGCACTGAAAAACAAATATATTCCTTTGCTTTAACAAGTTATCCTGCCAAATCCATATGCAGTGTAATAAAAATATACTCAGAATTGAGTTTCTGCTAATGAAAATAATTTCAGTACACTGTATAGTTTCTTCATCCCTTGCAAGGACTGGCAGAAGCAGAGTAAAAGTACACAGATTACTTAATTTAAATATACAGGCAGTAGAATTTAGTTTTATTGACCGTGCAAGATTTTTTTCAAACGTTCTCGAAATATACACTCATACTGTTTTTTTGTCCCCCTAAGCAGCTGAAGTTGAATCCTGCAATCTTTTCATGTGCATAACTATTCACAAAATGGCTTCTAAATAAATACAATAACATCAGATGGATTGAGACCTGCCTTTCTGTGAAAAAAATGCTCCTGTGTTCTGCAGAGGGAATGAGGATGCCATGAGGCTTCCTACTGGGAAAAGAAGGAAAGGAGAGACAGCTTCTTTCACTCTTTCCCCTGCAGCTCCCCCCAGTAGCTACTGTGCTGTTTCATACTCTCCTAACCTCCCGTAATAGTGCTGGGAGCCACAAGGGGCAAAGAAGAATAGGAGAAAATCGCCACTCCTTCCCTTACTACTGAGCACAACTATTACTAAGCTTGACATTAATTTTAAGCTTGGACAATAATAAATTGCTTATCCAAATGCAACTACCAATGTTCAGAAATGGAACTGAAGTTTCTATAGAATAGCACACATTTCTATGAAAAGGAAAGATCTTCCCTTAGTACTTCTGGGAAATGCACAAAACATTTTTGAGTTTCAGTTACCAGGGCAGTTTAAAAAATTAATAAAAACACCATATAATTTTTGACTGCTGTGCTTTATTCAATATTGATAACAGTATAAATGCAATGTGTGTATTCTTGCTTACAAGATTAAATGAAATGAGGCTTCAAAATTCTGAATGGTTTATCCAGCTGAACTATCTAATCCCAGCAAAGGCTAGACACATTACCAGTGGGAGGGATATTATCCAGGGACATTTGTAGCTCCTGAGGTACAACAAACAGCACAGGGGAGTGACCAGTGATGAAAGGAATGAGTGGAAGCAGCATGTAAGAGACCAGCAGTTAGCCAGATAGCCCTAACCACTGAGTGGGTTAGCAGCTATCACTGGTGGGGATGGGTATATACCCAGGTACTAACCATAGCAACTAGGTAGTCAGCAGTAGCAACCAGTGTGTTATTGTCTCAGCTGATTGGAGAGAGGCAGCAATGTTACCCTCTTATTAACTTCCAGCAAAACCACTTAGGGAGAGCAGAGCCAGAAGGCCTTGTGGAGATGGGAACAAAATGTGTGAAATGTTTGGAAAGGGCTTAAGGGAAGAAGCCAAACAGAGCCACCAAGAGAAGAGCAAACAGAAGGCAACATCACAGTGGGAAGTAGTCTGGCCATCACAGGGGAAGACAATCTGATCTGACCAAAAGGCACTTTGTCATCTTGGCAATCTCCCAATTGCTTACTTGTATGATGGCCCTCAGGGTTTGGCAGTCTTGCTGTTGAATGTGGATTGGATAATGGGAATATGTCTGTCACCCAGGATTTCATCTGTGATGAATACCTTGTGTACATTACACAAACCTAGTTGGATGAGGTAGGAAGGGTGACTTTGTCTCATTTGCCACTATCAGATTTCTTTGTGCAACAGCAGGCTTGACTTGGAAGACTGAGAGGAAGATGGAACACAGCAGCATATTGCAATTTTATGGCCTTGACCAGATGCCTTATGCAGCATTTGCCAGGTTTTGAGTGTGCATTTTTGAACTTGGATATTCAGGACATGTGTACTCTCTGCCCAGTTGCCTACTTGCTCTGTCCAAGATGGCCTCGAGGTTAAGGCCTTGAACCATTGCCAGGGAATAGTAATGAATCAGATTAAAGTAAAACTGGGCAGGACAGAGATGCTTTTAATCAGTAGAAATGACTCAGAAACTAGCTTTCAACTTATGTTCCTGGTGTGGACTCCTTGTGAAAGCACTAGCTCATAGTTTCTCAATTCTTCTGTACTTGGCTTCATCCTCAGATGCTACATCTCTATGGGAGCCAGGACTATTCTTGCATGGCTGAAGCTGATGTGTCAACCAGAATTCAGATCTGATCAGGGCATATTCCTTACTTTATCACATCTGTATGATTGCACTGGCTGCTTCTGTAGAGCTGCTTCTGAAGAGTATTCAGAAACTACAATTGGTCCAGAATGAAGCAGACTGATCCTTAATAGGGGTTGTATAGAGAAAGCATGCTACAACTGCAGCATCTGCCAATTTGTTTCCACGTACAATTCAAAAAGTAGGTGATGACCTTTAAAGCCCAGAATAATTTAGTATTATTTGAAGGACTGCCCTCTGCACAAGCCCATCCACTGAAATTAATTTTGAAGGACCTGTTGTATGTGCTAACAATGCAGGAGATTCATCTGGTTCAGAGACTCAGAGAAAGATTTTGCAGCGGCTACACCTAGGTTCTGGAACTCCTTTCAAGGCATGCCAATTTCACTTCCTCAAGAACCATCTTTTGAAAACCAGGGAAGTCTTTTTGGAAAGGCCTTCAGTCAATACTTTTAAGCTTGCTGCTTTAATGTTTCCACTTTTTAACACTGTAAATATTTTTATTGTACGTAGTGTCTTTCTGCTGTTGTTTTTGTGCTTTTTGTCAAAAGGGATGTTTTGATTATTAAACTTGTTATGAGCTGCCTGTAACTCTTCAGAGATAAGGTAGGATGTAAGTATTTAAAAAAAATAAGATGAGGCTCAAGTCCTGTGCATCAACCTGGGAGTAAGGTTCATGAAGTTCAGTGGGACTTACCTCTGAATAGACATTTGCATAGGATTGTGTTTTAAATTGCTGGTAATGTTTCCATATCTGCACTCCTCCATATTAGTTTATTATAATGTACTTTATGCTGGGCTGCCTCTGTAGATGGGCTAGTAACTGCAGACAGTTCAGAATGCAGAATCTAGGGCAGCATCCTACTGTATCATTGCACTGGAGCAAATGATATTGCACTTTTGAAAACTACTGAAAGGGGAGAACTCAACTGAAGTTAAGGTTGTACATGTGTGATTGAGTATTATGATCATACAAGCTGTTGTGTATAGCTTTTGTGCAACCTGTTGTGCAACCAGCTGTGCATTCCACTTGCACAGGCTATTGTGCAACCAATTGCACAAACTGGCTATATGAGTGTAATGGGCATCAGCTTACACAATGGAATGATTCAGTGATGCTCACTGGAAACTGCCCACTGATTGCTAACTAGACCAGGCATTAATTGTAGGCTCAATTCAAACTGGTGGTTTTACCTTTAAAGAGACATTACGGGACATTGGTTAAGACTGTTGGAGTGTGGATGCGGAAGATTCACATGATAGGTTTTAGTCCCCACTCAGCCATGAAACTCACTTGAGTCATTTTGGGCCAGTCACTCCCTCTCAGTTGAACCAACCTCACAGGGTTATCATTGTGAGATAAAATCTGAGCCACATTAGGGTCCTCACAAGATGAAAAAAAGCTGACTATACATGCAGTGTAGTAGTCATACTAGAAGCTGCAGTGGAGCCCTCCATGGCTTTGACTTCCACTTATGGCACCTGAGGATGAGCATAACCCCCCATTTGTGCTTCGTTACACACTCATATCCTCCTAAGATACCCTTCCCTGGTTTCACTTGCCATCCAGGAATGGTGGCTAGCTATGGGCGAAAGGGTCCCCTCATTAGTGATAGCCAGGGAAGACTCACCTGGCTTCTATCCTGATGTAACTCAGTGTCAGGAAGGTCCTTTTCATCACTCAGGCCTTTAAATTAAATTTTATCTGTTTTATTTGGACTGGGTTTTGTTGTTTTTCTGGTGATTCTGTGTTTATTCTGGTAGAGTTTTAAACAGAATATTTTGAATTCTCTAACTCCCATCAACAGACAAAATGGGACAAACAGAGAGTCATACCTGCAGTGTACTGTAATAGGATGGTTTCCTGTTTGCTGTTGTTGCTTTTGGACAGCTGCAATGAGGTCTATCATTCCTTTCCCTTCAGCAGGAATTCCAATTTCAGGCCATCCATGAAAATGAAACTGACGGACAAGTCTGCCTAATTTCTCCTAATCATTCAAAACCAAGAAGGCCAAACATTTAAAGCTTTTGTAAGAACATCATTAAATATATTTAGTCTCTGAAATCCATCTAAGCAACCTGTTGTCTATTGGGCAATTCCTACTGCAGTCACATAAATTCACATTCACACAGACCTATTGATCCCACCTGAAGTTTCAGAAACTTACTATTTTAAACTTATTACCCATAACACCCACCCACACCCACACCCACATGCATGCACACACCAATTATAAATAGTACCTGACTGTGCATAATCAAGAAGTCTCTTATGCTTAAAGCATCTGCAAGTGAGTCACTCTTTATCTCGATGGTAATCTCTCCGTAAGTAACAGAATCTTCTGATGGCCAGTACTGAAAGCATTTTTCCTGTAATGTTAAAAAAGTGCAAATGCTGCTTTCAAAGCTCTCCTGCTGATATCTAACCACCCAGCTACAGCAATGGCTTCTGAAAATCTTTATTAAAGAACTAATTTTAGTGTATATTTCTGCAAGGATGGTACACTAGCTAAATAAAGAATATTTAATTGACTGGTATCAGAAAAGAAGTCAAGGTACAGAAAATGTTACATGCCATGCGTACTTGATGTTAGTTCTGTATGTTAATGGATATCATGAACATATGTTAAAAATAAAACATGTTTTTTTGAGAAAACCAACATGTTTTCTTTAAAAGAAAAGCAACAAAGTCCTGTTAAAGAACCTCTATACAGCATGTAACATTTTGGGCTTGTATAGGTAACATTTTGTGATTCTAAGAATGAACGTAATGTACAGCAACTGCTATACACGCACACAATTTTTTACAAAGCCATTTTACTGGATGAGGCAGAGTGATCTCATACTGGAGCCTTTGAAAAATGTAAAGTCCTACTGGACTTACACTAAGCAGCTTATATGGGAGAAACAGTCTCCCTTCATGCTGACTCCCTGGAACTTCCTTTTCTGTTTTCAGTTCTGACTTAAACTGTTTCCTGCCCAGTTCAGTGGGAAGAAAATGAACAATGCCGGCTGACATAGCTGTCTTCCCATTCTGGGGTTATGTCTGGGGCATGGAAGGGCTGTGGATCCACTCCTGACAGCTTACCCATGGATTGGTCCTTTGTGCTTCTACTAATATAAGAGCTTTGACGTTTGTGAGGTAAGGACTGTAGAAATTCCCCTTTGCTGCAGGAAAGCCAAAATATTCTGTGTCCCCTGGGACTTCCTGCCAGGGACCATAGCACTGCAGCCTTGGTTAATACATGTAGGATAATGTTACACCAAATATAGAGACCTCTTGCTGTAATGCAGCTACAGACACTGAGCACAGTCTAGAGAAACCTAAGTAAGCATTCTGAAGCCTAGTGACCTCTGAGCACTTGATTATATGTAACTTTCTCTAGGCTGTTTCAACAGTCTCTGAAGCCGTAAAAGTGAGGATGATCAAGGCCAGGTTCAGCTCACTTGAATCCTGGCAAACCCCATGAAATTTTGATGCAGGACCTTGCATCCAAAACCACATAGCTGCAGCCAGCACTGTCTCATTCCTTGCCAGGATGTTTGGGGACTCATCAGAGTAGTTGTAAAGCAGTTGAAAATCATACTAAGAGCTGAACTGTACTAGCAGTAGTTGCATGACTCCTGGGATGCACAGCACTCTGCTTCCCAAAATGCCTGAGAAATGGCATTTACGTTATGTGGGCCATTTTATGAAGCATTCTGCAAGTGGGTTGAATGCACTGATTCTGCCCCATTCTGCTGTCCTTTGTTCATAAGCATTAATAACAAAATATGATACACTCTAGAAAATGGTCCTACTTGCTCTCTTTCCAGAACTTCAGTAAGCATGACAATTGTATGGCATTTCCACTCCCACACCATTCGCCAGAAGTCTTCCACAGTATGAGGAAGTGGTCCTTGAGTTGCAATGAAGTAATCCTTTTGCCGATAGCCCTTCATGCACAAAGAAATATGCAAAGTAATTTGATTAGTTTGCTATTTTGAAATTTACAATTCTGACCCATCTGAAAGGTATACTAAATAACTGAAATAACGACATACTTATTTCTTTCAAGAACTTTGGTAAAGCTCCTCCCACTTCCATTAAGCTAACTTTCACATCAGCCCACAGATCAAGGAGATCCTAGTTAAGCCCAAGCGCCTCACTATGTTGATTGTGCCATCAGCACATGCCAAACAAGAGGTAAATGGCTGAATTCCTGGCACTTTTTACACTGACATCGAAAGGTCCACATTATCATTCTGTTTTTGAAAATGGCCTTTTGTTATTTGCAAGATCTTTGCAACCTATGCAGAGGAAGAGAGGATGCCAGGTTTCATATAGGGAAACAGGCAGTGAATATATATTAAGCAACACATAAACCATCCCACAAGTCTTTGAAAATGCAAACAAGCAAAAGTATGAGTGTAGCTGTGTTCTTTAATAAAAAGTATTTTTCTTTCTGCTGCAATTCTCTTAAGAGTATAGCACTATTTACTATACCAAGATGTAGAAACATTTTAGGCAAAGGCCACTTCTTATGTTTCTATCATATATAAGAGGAGAGTATTTGTGGAGACTCTTCATGTGACTATGAATACTTTCCATGGATAAAAGGGGTTCTCCTCTTCAGGAAACAACATTTGCAGGAGTAGAAGATGCCACGAACACATGTGCATCGGGCAGGGTTAGCATGTTCCTTGTCATCAACATTTAGCGCAACAAGATGAGGCATGTCAAAGAATAAATATATAGTCATGATACAGTGTAAACAGAGCTGAATACCACGACTGAGGCCGCACTGGTGACGTTAGGGAAAAGAGAGGTTCACCCAGCCTTTGAATCCAGAAGGAAGTATATGAAGGAAGTTAAAAGTGTATTTGAGATAACTTGATGGTATAAACTTCTTACTTAAGGACAAGGAAAGCTCTTCAATGCAGCTAGGGAATCTCCATTTCCACTCTCTCTTAAGTAACAAGGGGAAAGGGAAAGGAAACACTGCTTGTTGAAACTTGGTGCTGAAGACAGAAAAATCAAGGATGGTTGCATCTCTCTATTGACATTTTAAATTCAAAGTAATATTTTATCATCATTATTTGATTATACTGAAAATTCTTATAGCTTAATGGGTTCAGTTTGTGTGTCACAGTAATCTCTTATGGTGATTTATGACCATGGGTTCATTGTTCCATGAAACACCCACAATGATCCCAACAAGTCGCTGGGGTCATCCCTCCCTCCCCCTCAGAAAGAACGAGCCCCCTCGTAATGTGCCCAGAAATTGATGTACAAAATTATTTTAATTTCTATTTTTTAAGATTCCCATTTGCTCCAATGCTAATAGGAGCATTCCAAGTATGTGTTGGGCCCTTTTAGGGTGGTTCCTGCTATTCAGGACAGCAGGAACCTTTCCTGCAAAGTGTTCGGCAAAGGTTTGCAAACTTCCCCCGACAGCTCTCTTGCCAGGTTTGAAAAGTTCCCTTCTGGCTTGAGTGTCTCTTGACCAACCGACTGTTCTGACTTGTCAAGAGGTAGTTGAGGTGGTGGGGAAGATTTTCAGTCCTCTGTTTAGCACTTTGCACAAAAGGTGCCTGAAGCAGGAGCTGGTATGTGTCTAAATAGATATCATGAATAAAATGAATGAATAATGAAATGACAAAAACGCTACAGGTGGTCTAAAATGTTTCTCTGTTATGGTAGGTCAGGGAGAAGACAGTACCAGCCAGCAGAGGCCAGGGTTAGCTCAGTAAGAATACCAAGGCGTTACCTTGCCATGCTTGTCTAGCAGCTTGCTAGCAGTTTGGCGAGAAACTGATGAGACAACCCACTATGGGGAAAGCACATCCTAGACCAGTGATGGCAAACCTTTTAGAGACCGAGTGTCCAAACTGCAACCCAAAACCCACTTATTTATCGCAAAGTGCCAACACTGCAATAAAACCTGCATACTGAGGTTTTAGTTTAGAAAAAACAACTCACAGCCAGTCCAAGAATATATATATATATATCCTTGGCAGTGCATTGACCATGCAAAAGCTTGGATGAGTCGTGGCTAATGAATAGTGGCTTATGATGTCATTGCCTGGCTCTGCTGCTCCTTTCCAAGCATGTGCATAGCCCCATGTGCGCTGTTATCTGATGCTTGGCTGCTGGGGCGACGCTGAGGCGACTTGGCTTGTGTGCTGACAGAGAAGGCTCTGCATGCTCACTGCAGCACGCCTGCCATAGGTTCACCACCACTGTCCTAGTCCATGGGTTTTCATCATAGGTAGTTTGAAACAAAAATGACCTGTATGCTAAGTTAGCATGACAGGACAACAAACCATTGTTGTCAGTGGGCCATTAAGTCATGTGCACCCACTGAGAAAGGGCCTCCAAGTCAACATATCCAAACCACTGCTCAATAGACGCTCTGTGCTGCAGGATCCAGCTACAGCAAGCTACCCTTTATTATAGCTGTTATAAATTTTTTACTATCTCTACATTACATTTATATCTTGCTGTTTTTCCTCAGATAGAAGGAATACAAGGAGCACAAGGCATCTTACATAGTCCTCCTCCCCTCCATTTTCCCTTTCAACAACCCTGTGAGGTAGCTTATGTTAAGAATGAGTGACTGGCCCAAAGTCACCCAGTGAGCTTCATGACTGAATGGGAAGTAGAACCTGGATTATTCTGGGTCTGCCGAACACTATAAGCACAACACCATGCTGTCAATGAAAAAAGCAGAGATGCAACAAACCAGTTTTAAAGAAAGTTGGTTGCTGAAAGGACCCGAAAAACTGATATTACACTTATTCCATATTGCAAGTAAGTACTTACATCTATGAAGGAAGCATTGATATAATCGGTGTATTCCTGGCCTCTTTTCATTGAAAGAATCACTCTGTTAAAATCATCTTAAAATAAAACAACAACAACACATATTAAATTTTGGAAAGTGCTATGTGTTTTACAGTCAATAATACCATACAACCTCTGACCTGCGGGCTTGTGTGGAATTAAGAAATTTATATTTAGTTCAGTCTAGTAGTGCCACCTGCTGCTGAAGGTTTGGCAATACTCTATTGAACCATTTGTGTTAACACAATACTTACACAGTTTCTATTTAGAAGGAAATTAATGTCTTACATGGGATGATCTGGATAACTCTGGCTTTCTTCATATTTGCTGGCAGATTACCAGTTCTCATGTTTTCTTTCATTATTCGAACATTTGTTAATTTCTACAGCAAAAAAGATACATGTTGAAAATTAGGTTACTTTGTGGATTGCTGTATTAAAGCTAAGAATGCAAGAATAACTAAAAGATTTGAATCCACATATCATTACAATTTCCTCTGAAAGTTTTGTAATTGAACACAAATGGATGATGGAGAGGCTCATACTAGGGAGTGATCTAGAAACCCTAGATGGGGAAGGAGGGTTGGCAGCCACACAACATGGCTTCTGCAAATCAAGTCCTGCCAGAGAAACCTTGTGGAATTCTATGACAAGGTTTCGAGGTGGCTAGACAGAGGGGATGCAGTGGATGTGGTTTACCTGGATTTCAGCAAGGCCTTTGACAAAGTGCAGCATGACATCCTAGTTGAGAAACTGAGAAGTTTCGGGATGGACTGATGCACTGTCCGAAGAATTGGGGCATGGCTGACAGACCGGAAGCACAGGGTAACTATTAGTGGGAAATCATTGGGATAGAGACTGTTGATGAACAGAGCATCCCAGGGCTCTGATCTGGAACCGATCCTGTTCAATCTATTCAGCAATGACCTGGAAGAGGGAGTGACCAGTCTGCTGATCAAATTTGCAGATGATACTAAAATGGGGGTGGTAGCCACAACTGAGGAACAGGTACTCCTGATCCAGAAGGATCTGGACAGACTATGGAAGGGGGCAGGGATAACAGGATGGCATTCAATGTGAGTCTTGCACTTGGGGGACAGGAATTAGTGTCACAGGTACAGGATGGCGGACAAGTGGCTGAAGAGTAGCACTTGTGAAAGGATCTCTTGTCAACAGCAGGCTGAACACGAGCCAGCAGTGTGACGGTTAAGAAGGCAAACGCCACCCTTGGATGCACAACCAGAAGAATGGCTTCTAGATCAAGGGATGTATTACTGCCACTCTATATGACTCTGCGCCCACAGCTGGAGTACTGTGTTCAGTTCTGGCCTCCACATTACAGGAAGGATATAGCCAAGTTACAATCAGTGCAGCATAGGTCCACAAGGATTGTGACTGGATTGCAAGGGATACCGTATGAGGCGAGACTCAGGGAACTGGGTCTTTTCAGCTTGGAGAAGGGGAGACTTCAAGGGGTATCATGCGGAGCTGAGTTGAAACCTGTTTTCCCCTGCGGAGGAGAGCAGGATGCATTCCAATGGAGCAAAGGTCAGGGAACCAAGGTTCAACTTGGATGCCAGGAAGTACTTCCTGAAAGTTAGGACCCCGAGGGTAGGAATGGGCTTCCACGTGAAGTGGCTGAAGCCCCATCAGTGAGGGTATTGAAGGACAGACTGGACATGCACATGGTAGGTATTTCAGAAGTGGAGCCAGCTGGAGCCGGATGTCAGACTGAATGACCTGGGAGATCCCTTCTGATCCACTCTGTTTCTATGTTCTATATGTTCTATGTTCTAAAGTATCCAAAAGGTGTGTACAATATAGTACCTACTAATGCCTTTGTTTTCATTAGGCAATGAGATGTAAGAAATGTTTTCACAGGCTGGAAATTTGCAGTTTTGCTCTGTGTATTTGTCTCTTTGATTGCAATAGATAATAGTGTGCAATTACTATTAATGGATTTTTTAATTTCTAGTTATTTGTAATTTTATTTTTATTTTTTGGCAAACTTGTCTACGGATGGAAAATAGAAATCTTCCAAAGGTACATACAGTAAATTGAAAAAGGAATTTGTTTATTTATTTATTTATTTGGTCATTTTAAGACATACTTGCAAATTCACCAGCAGTCAAAATGTATATGGAAAGTGTAAGGCTGTGGTAGTTCTAAACCAATGTCTGACTTGGGTGATGAGCTGGATGAGGGCCAACAAACTGAAGCTTAATCCAGACAAGACAGAGGTGCTGTTCATAGGTGGCTTTCATATCCAGATGGGGTACATTTGGCTGTCCTGGGTGGGGTTGCACTCCTCCTACAGGACATGGTCTAGAGCTTGGGGGTACTTCTGGATCCTGAGCTGTCCCTGGAGTTCCAATTGGGCTCTGTGGCCAGGAGTGCCTTTTAGGAGCTCTAATTCATCTACTTTGACTGTATCTGGATAGGCAGAACCTAGCAAAAGTAATCCATACCCTGGTAACCTCTTGGTTGGACTATTGTAATGCACTTACATGGGACTGCTTCTGAAAATGGTCTGGAAGCTTCAACTGGTGCAAAATAGAGCAGCCAGACTGCTGATGGGGACTGGTAGTAGTAAACACATATCACCAGTCTTCTATCAGTTGCATTGGCTGCCCATTGAAGTCCAGGCCCCCTTCAAGGTGCTCATCTTAATGTATAAAGCCATACATTCTTTAGGATCTGAATATCGGAAAGAACGTCGCCATCCATATAAGCCTACCCAGATCCTAAGATCCTTGTCAGAGGTCCTGATCTGGGAGCCACCTTTAAAGGAAGGAAGCTAGAAAGGTGGCTACCCAGGCCACACCCTTCTCAGTTGTGGCACCCCAAAGAGATGTGTGCTAGGTGCCTTCTTTGTATATATTTCCGCACCAGGCCAAGATGGTCTTATTCATGGAGAATTTTAATTGTTGCTAGTTTTAATTTTAACTCAATTTAATTTTGGCTGTTATTTTAACTAATGAATTTTAATATTTTAATTGTTACTTTTAAGATGTATCCGATCTGTTAATGTATGATATCAACTTGGTTGGTGCTCCTGCTGTGGTGTGGACATTTTACTGGTTTCAGTGTTTTATTATTGAATTGTTTGTGTTGCTTTTATGTTTTGTTGATGGTTTTTATTGTGTAAACTGTCCAGAGAGCCACGTGGCTCTTGTGACAGTATACAAAAGTGTTAAATAAATAATAAAAAATAGCATTGTTAGTCAAAAATCATAATATGAATTAGCTTTAAAACAGATCTTCATGGTATTCTAACTCTGGATGTTTTATGAATGGATAACTTGACTAATGTTGCCAATAAACAAATTAAATTTTAAACAAAAAACAATAAAGCACCTGCCCCCCAATTATAAGAGCTTCACTTCTAAAAATAAAACAAATACTTATATCCGTGTTTTAGAGCTTGGACTTTAAATGCTTGTAAAAGTTATTTAATGCTTACTTTAAACTCTTCTTCTAGCCCTATTTTGACAAGATTTGGTGTTGTATTGTGTGATGGCTGCAGGTGCTTTTCTAAAGAGGACACATCTAATTCTGTGTCACCATAGAGGTAGTATTCAAGTAAGGCTTGATAAATGAAGGAATACTGCATCTGTAAAGAAGCAAAACACTCTATAAACTAGGACATCTGAAATATAGTTACAAAAACTCAGTAACATTCTCCAATAGTTCCATTTTTCAGTTAAATAACCTCCTGCTTTCCTATTCTGACAAGGGTCAAAACACTAATTTTAAATCAGAAAAACATAACTATTGCCTTTTGAAGAAATAGATAAATTGCATATAGGCAAACTATAGTTTATTGTTCTAGTTTACTAGCCATGCCTCAGGAATGTTCATTTCCCTCCCTTCTCTTTTTCCATAAATAAAAATAACAGCTCTCCCAACTCAAAAGTGTAGTTAATCTTAACCATAGTTTATTGAAACAAGCAGCTTTATAAAACAATTTTTAAATAGAAAAAAACATAGTTAAGACCAATCATACTTGTCTAAATTTGGATGAAATAAACACTTTCTAATATCCTTCTTGGGGTTGTACAAGAGAAGGAGAGAAGAAAGCAGAATACTGGGTTTGCTTCTACAATAATAAACGATCGTTTATTGATACATCTGAGTGAAGTCATGTACTGAATATGGGAAATTTTGCTGTACGTTGCATTATCTTTTCCTTCAGGAATGGTGGTGGTAAAGGTGAGATGTAATAAATGAAACTGCAGAGAAAATAAGGTGTGGTGATGACTCATGTATTTGGAGCTGTGCAGCAGACCTACCTCTTCCCTCTGATAGTATGAAGCTCCACCTCAAATCTGCTTCAGTAGCTACTTCCTTAGTAATTATAGCCTACATATTCCTAAGCTAACATTTAGAACCACAAGGGCTTATTCCTACTTTTAAAAATATGAACAGTGAGTCTATGAGAACATGCACCAGACCATACTAACAAGAACTGGAACTCTGCAGGCCAAGCACTGCCTTATAGATAGTTCATCTCATATTGACTTATGGTGCATATGGTGCTTTTTGTTATTGCCTGTTTTCCTGTTTTTGCTGGTCCCTGATTGAAAAGGTTGAAAACCACTGATTTAGATGAATATTGTTCACACTGTCTTAGAAATGCTCTCCAATGCTTCATGCTGCCCTGCCAGTGAGATAGAGCACCACCACCACCACCCACTCCCCAATGGTCCATCAACCGCAAATGGTAAGAACTAGCACTTACATTGGTTTTCTATCAAAGGGAATATATTATTGGCTGAGGAGCAGAACAAATGTGAGGCACCCAATAGAAAGACCTCAAAATTATACTAGTCAGTGAAGACTGTTTGTCTCCACACTGAAATAACAATGGAACAATATATACTTAACAATGGAACAATATATACTTAACAACATGAAAAGGCTTTTACTCCCCCCACCCAATCCATACATTTGTTCTTTTAAGATAAAAACCAAGAATAGGGATACAGAGCCACACTGAATCTGGGGAGCAAATACTTTCAGTTATTAAAAAATGGGCTTCCATTGAAAGCCATAATTTAAAGATTACCTTTTGCACTCCAGTTTGCTACTAATTACTGCCTTGACTGGATAGCTTTGATAACTAACCAGCTAATAGGTATGTGACCATTATGTCTTCAAAAGACAAGGCATCCACGAAGAATTAAAACAACAATTAAATTGTAATTACATAAAAACAACATCACAGCATGGAACATAATCAGCTCCATTAAGGCCAAGCTTTCACAGCACACAATATGGCAAGCCAAAAGGGCCAATACATTAAAGTGATAATGTTACTAAAGTTAAATAAAATTAGTTAGTGGGCAGCTCGCAATCCTCCAAATGTTTTGGCCAACAACTCCCATTAGCCTTAGCCAGCATAACCAATGATGAAGCAGATAGGGATTATAAGCCAAAACCACAAGTTCCCTATTTCTGGTTTACAGTAAAGGCAGAACAAGTCACTTCAGAATACAGAAAGCTGCAGTAGGTCAGGGTTGCAGACAGATACTGCTCCAAAGGAAGGGCACACAGCTGCACTGATGCTATGCAAATACTTTCCTGCTAGTAGTTTCCCTTCCATAGATGTAATGACAGGGCTTTTGAGGGTAAGGACATCACTTCTCCAATTCTGTCTCTGCTCTCCCAATAGTCACATAACCTTTTCACATTTTAATTGTAATTACACTCAAATACAATTACAGATTATTATTCATCATTCAAATTTATAAACACATTTGCACAAAGGTATCCAATCAGTGAACATAAAATATGATGGCATAAAAAACAATAAAAGCATTATTAAAAAAAACACTATATAAATTGATCAGCTATAACACCACATACTCTACTGTGTACTACAAACCACAACTTTCTGGATAACACGTCAGGGAAACCCCGGGTGAAAAGATAAGTTAGATTTACTTACATCAGTCTGAACCATTTGTGGGCGTTGATTGCGGATTCTTGCCACAAACTCAAAAACATCAACCTTTTGTTCGGCATGCATCATGTCTATCATGGCATCTATTACTATGAATGTGCCCGTCCGACCGACACCAGCACTTAATAGAAAAATAAATGCACAGTTGAGCAAAGGTTACCCGGACCGATGGCTCACTCTTCTGCTGAATCCTGAGTCACAACATTCCTCGTTCACATTAGACTACACGAACTCTGACAGATCATGCCTGTTTAGCACTTAGTTTAATACTGTTTGTATTAAGTTTAGTGGTAGTAGTGGTACCACTGGCTGCATTCAGTTTATTGTAAGGTTTTCTACATGAATCTCTTAATCTGCTTGTACTTCTCTGTATATACTTTTGGGGTTGCTGCAGAATTGGAATCTGAGCACTAATAGAGCAGCATTTCCTTTCCTATTTATATCCTAAGTGTGGCACTGTGGTAAAGCAGGACCACAAAAACACACAAGAAACACAGGATTACTTTTCATAATTGAAGGTCACATTTCCCGGTCTCTAAAACACCCACCCAAAGGGTTCATTACAGAAGTAAAACTGGAGGGTCACAAAATCACCTAAAGAACCCATTAACAGCTGTGAGTAGGAAGTGACAAGTGCAAAATAAATGCTTTGTATAGAAAAGCCCAGGAATGTGTAATGAAAAGTTTGCATATACACTGGGGTTTTAACCCAAAGTTACTTAGACCGAAATCCAAAAGTCCATCCATTGGCCACACTCCTAAGCAGTCTTCTCTCTACCACCACCCTTCTTGAAACTACTTCCTATGATTTAGGGCCAAAGCTCATATCATGGCAGCAGGCCTATGTCTTTAAATAGGTTACCTGAGCCAGATCTGGCCTTTGTGGTTCAGGTGGTGCATGGGAAGAGGGACACTAAATCCTTCACCTGCCTTCTGCCTCTCCTCCCACAGCCCTTCCTCCAGTTCCTACTCTATCAGCTGGGCTCAGTTTAGTATTAATGAGAGGAAAACATAGTTAGGAAGATAGACTAAAGAAGGAAAACAACAGAGTGCAGAAAGGCTCAGCACACCATCCATGGGGACCTTTTTATCATATTTCAATTTTATACCATCCAATAACTCTCTGGATTGTTTTTGGTTTTTAAAACTCTGCTTTGTACAAGACTGAGGTATCCCTATATTTGCCATCTTGCATCTGCTGTTGTTATGTGTATTTTGGCCCCAAAAATAATCTTTCATTTTCCATCTCTACCTAATGAAACCTTTTTAAGTTTTATTATTAGCATTATTTCTTTGGGTATAAATAATAAATAAAATTAACAGATAAATATGCTGAACCCAATTCTGGAATCTGTGATATTACACCATTTCTACATTAGTATGAAAAGTACACTTAATAACATATTGATAACATTTAATTCTAAAATCTTATTTAGTACTGTATTACAAATGTTAGAACTACCACTAGAGGGTGCAAAATTACTACTGATCAAATTATCACCCTAAATGGTTTGGAGCCTGCTTTTCAGGGAGGAAAAGGGCATGGCATCCTGTGCTAGGAATAAACTTTCTCTTGCATTCTGTTAAATTATTTCTCTGTATTGTTATGATGACATATTCCAGTTTTCTAAATCATTTTTCTCCCTCTAAAATTGCCACTCTATTATGGATAGAATATAAAATTTATCAGTGATATTTCCTCCAAAAGAATATTTGGAAATAGATTCTACAAGATCATGAGTTATTTTGCATTTTGATACAGAACCAATAATTTACAGATACACTTTAAGAATTTCTTGCTCATGTGTCTTTCCACAGTCCAGTTTAGCCTCTCTCCCTCTATTTAATTCATGGTCCTGACAGATTTTTTTTCTATATACTGCTCTTAAACAGACACAAAAGGGGTGCATAACTATGAAATCTGTTTGTTTTCCTGTTTCTTCCCCATCCCTTTTTTCTTTTGTATAATGTCTGAGCTTATGAGTAGGGACTGTGTTATTTTCACTGGGTTGTATTCAATTGTATGCTGCTGACTGAAGCTTTTTGATCAGAGGCTTGTGAAAGTTGGAGAAGGAAATTTTTGCTCATCCACCCTTCTGTCTGCAGCCCCCTGTGTGCCTAAAATTCTGTTCTAGAGGGTTAGGAGACTCTTTGGAACAGCACAGGAGGTGCCACTGGAAGGCTACAGAATGAAAGAAGACACTTGTGGAAATCACCTCCTGGGCTTTCTGCTCAGAGAAGTTTCTACTGGATTAAACAGCCTTCCATCAATGGAGGGGACACAATGGGGCTTAACCCTTAATCTAGCATCATGTAGTAGATTCATCAATACATAAATAATATTTATTTCATGAAAAAGGTTTAATACAGTGGGGTATTTTTGAAATTATAAACATGTGTTTGAACGACAATTTGTAGAGATACCCATACCCATTAAAATGATCACTGTGGCATAAGCCAAAACAAATGCCAGTTCTCTCAAAACACAGAAGGCACCAAATTAATCCCCACTGATAAATTAGCCCTAAGTATGGCCCAAAGTCACATAAGCTATATAAATAAATAAGGGTAGAAATAAATAAATGGATCACAAAAAGAAAATCATCCAAAACCCTTGGTACATATTTATACGGAGACCACCTCTTTTTTCATATACCTGTAAATACAAATTGCAGTTCTAGCCTTAGGAAGCATAATTTTTCTAATTATGTGAACTACCATGTCAGACCTGAGAATGTGAAGGTGATCTATAACTTCAGTTTTGAAAGATGATTGAGTCTGTCTAGTCCTGTCGAAATATTAGAGCTCTGTCTTTAGAACAGAAATGAGATTATCTGTTATTTTAACCTCTCCCTTATATTAACCTTCTCAGCCCCACTCTGATAATCGATACATCATGAAGCCTCCTGGCCATGCAGGAAAGCTCTTTCTGAGGGTCAATGGAAGAGCACAAGTGAGAAGAGGGGACAAAGTTAACTGGCAAGCAGATGGACTGCACAGAAACAGCAGTGCCCACCTCTTCTGTGCACCTCCTTCTTCTCAGTTTCCTAAGCTACATTTCTGGCCAGATTGCAAGATACCCTAGGAGAGCAGGAGGGCTGAGATAGCAGCAGAAGAACTGCTCACTGTGTGGGAAGAAAAGCAGCCTTGCAGCAGTTTGCTTCTCCTGTGGTGTCTGTCAGAGATTATTATTAGTGTTAGTACTATTTTCACTTGCACACTGCCTGTATCTGAAAATCTTTGGGTGGTTTGCAATGAGGCCTGTGAGTGCTATTTGCAGGCTGTTCCATGGTGAACCCAGTTGAGGTTATTCTAGTGAAGTGGACATACAAAACTCGTCAAAGAAAAAGCAATGAGCATGAGTTTCTCAGTGTGTGCCAACCTATGAGTGTGGAGGGAAGATTGGAGCTCCTCCACATACAACAAAAATCCAGTGCTCCTTCCACTTTGTGAGCTCATGGTATGGGTATGCAGCTGGGCGTGTTTACAAGTGTCCATTGGCCTGTGAGCCTTTTCAGTTCAGAAAATCATGTTCGATCCATCAGTGCTACTCTCTAGTTCCCAGTTCAATGGTAGGACATGCTCTTTGGATGCAGAACAACCCAAGTTTACTTGCCTCGTATGCTCCTCTGTTAACCTTTACCAGAGTTATTTTCACTCTTTAAAGATATGTTGAACAAATTGCCCTCCCAGCTGCAGCACACCACAGCTGACCAGCAGAGAAGGGGTATGGGCAGTCTCGGTACTGTTCAGCTGTAGGGTGCCATAGCTCAGCAGTGCAGCTGCCCAGCCAGGAAGGGTGTGGCTGAGGTCCCTGCCAGGCCACAGCTGACAGTGGTCTTCACATGGTGCTTAGTTTCTGAGCCCAGCACATGGTGACCATTCCCTTCTTGCCCATTCTCCTGGTTCCCTGCCATGCGCATTTGCCAATGCTAGGAGAATGGGATTTGCTCACAAGCAATACCACTCTTTCAGAAATGAGAGGCAAGGAAGTGCATGATAATAGCTGAAAGTGCCAGCCTTCAGCTGCTGGGTGCCATCCTGTTCCTCCCAGTGCTTGGTGCTCCTGCAGTGCCCACTAGGGTACTTCAGGAGGAATGGAGGGTGAGAACAGGGAAGGATTGTCTGTGAGGCACAGGAAAATTTTAGCTAGTATGTGCAGGTAAAATTCCTGGGCAATCAATGTGTTGCACGAAGTTTCTCGGTAGCAGACAATTTTTTTGGTGCCAGGCAGCCATAATACCTCAAAATTCTAAATGTACTACAAACCGATAAAAGCTGCCTAGCCCTGTTTTAGAGGCATACTGTCTCTGAATCAGGGGATTCCATAATGTTCTAATTCCAGGTAAAATATACTTAAGATCATCTATGTGCCAGATTATCTAATCTGCAATAGTTCTTGACTAAAGAGATATTTGTGTTTTGTTCTTCAGAATAAAGATTCTACGTTTTATTGGAGAATATTTTTCCATTTCACTATAACATCCTTTCAACAGGCTTAAATATAAAGTAAGGAAGCTTAAGTACTATAGTCAACATTGAACATACTTTGATCAAAATAATCTAACAGAATGAATTTCTTTTCCTGTATCAAAGTTTTGAGATGATTTAGTGTGCAATCCTGTGCCTGTTAGATGCTGTCTACACTGGATGCCTACAATTGTCTAAGTTCAAAGTGTTACAGGTAGCCACTCTAGATGGTGCCCTTATTTGAATCAACTGTCACACCCCAGGTCTCTCAATAAATTAACAACTCTTAATGAGTAAACTGAGATGTGGTATGAAAATCCAGCAGAACTGATTCTCAGTTCAAGTGAGAATCTTATATAAGTCTGTTATTTTTATGAATAAACTGAAAAACACTGAAGATGAATGTAGGTTTGGCAACACAGTTCCAGAATAATGCCAATTTCCTAGTACTAGTTCTGATGGCAACTACATTTTCTTCCCAGTTCTTAGTTTCTTGGAAGCCCTCATGTGACAATTTCTCAGGCACACAGTAAAGTAGCCCTTGTAATTTAAGTACGCATAAACTGTTTTTGTCAGTCCCTGTTAAGCCCATTCTCAAAAGACTGATGACCATGCACGCATGCATCTGGACATGCACACATACCTGCAGTGAACCACAATTGGTCCAGCATGTGTGGGATTCAGTGATTTTACTTTCTTTAAGAATTTAAGCATTCCAATAGGTGTGAAAGGCACTCCAAAATCAGGCCAGCTTGTGAAATGAAGTTGAGTTACAAGCCTTGGAGCTTTGCAGCCATCAGAGACCTGCTAGAGACAAAACATTAACATAGCCATTTTTAATCCTGGGACAGAATCAGTCAATTTACATACTTAAGGTACTGATTTCCCCCCTCTTTAAAAAATATATCAACAATAGCGGCATGTTCTAGGTTCAAAATATATTCAGTTTAAAAAGAAGGATTAAGGTACCTTATGAATTTACTAATAGATCAAAAAGCAGAAAGATAATTTAAGGCGTCTGGCTTAATACCTCAACTACACCAGCAGTAACCATGTTCTACATTTCCTCCTCATTCAATCTATAGAAGAAGTGCATTATGCACATCCCGAAGAAGAGTCCCTGCAGTAATGTTTTCCTGAGGGAAGTACACCTGCCATCCACACTGTATTCCTTTTGGTGACAGGTTAAAACTTTATTTGTCCAAGCACTTAAAATTATTTTTAGCTCTTCATATAGCTCTATACCTTTTCATTGTTTTGGAATATCGTTTTTGATGAAGGCACAATTAATAAATCCTTAAAAATAAACACAGTCTTGCATATTACGCCCACTTACAACTTGGCCTTCATGTGCCCAAGTGTTCCCTTACTCCTTCTGCAAGAGCCATTGATATGGCACCTTAACCTAGACACTATTCTAGACCCTATTCTACCTAATGAACCCCAGAAGAAGCCCCAGAGAAAGAGGTCATGTTTCATGACAATGCCAGGTTTGCCTATAACACTAACCCATGGCTTAATTAACCAATGGGTTGCTGAATATTGAATTTCCATTATCTGTGAACCATTATCTGTGAAAACAACTTCTTTACATGAAAGAACAACAGTACCACAAAGGTATCTGGCATGAAATAAAGGAGCAGGTAAAGAATGAAAAAGAACTAAACATATGGATTTTGAAAACAAAGCACACTTTGTTCTTTTGCCTGCCAGAAAAACTGGAGTTCAGGCAACAAACTGCTGTTTAACTACATATTAAATAAACAATGTGTTAGCATTACATGTGAACTGGGACATTACAGTGACAAAGTCAAGTCAAGTCAATCTTTATTTGCATTAGCCATAGGCTTTAGCATGTAAAATACAAATGCTAAAACAATAAAAAATAAAAACAGATAAAATGTACAAAGCTAAAATGGACTTAAAACATTCCATAATGTATATTAGGTAGCAATACCAAAATTATTGGATAATTCATTATACACAGCCTCTAAGAACCTGCAGAAGTTAGAACTCTGAAACAAAAGTGGACCTTATTTTAATAGCACCAGCTAGGAATCTTGCAGTTTTCAACGTGACATTTTTTAAAATACGGTTTTGTAGCCAATTTAGGGGCATGGGATACTGGAGAAGTTAGGTTCCTAACAATATTATTTATACATAAAATAAACAGTGCAGAAGCCAGGGTGCAGCCTTGTTTGACTCCCTTTCTAACAAGCATGAGTCTAGTGAATTGTCCATCTGTCGGGCATCACACCTTCAGGCAGGTGTTGTTATATAAGCATATGATCAGAAAGAGAAGCCTTTTATCTATAGTTAGCAGATTTAATTTGTCCCAGAGTCTAGTGTGGGAAATAGAATTAAATGCAGCTCTCAGGTCAATAAAAGCTGTGTATGATGCACCACCAGTTCTCCTAGCATGTTTATCAGTGATTTACCATTGATCTGCCTAGTCAGAATTCCAAATGTTATTTGTTTTCAAAAACATACAGATCAGGAATGTTTTACTATATGAAGTAATTACTTACTGGCTGAATACAAAACTTCCGAATAGTATAATCCACAAGAACTATACAATCTTCCACAGAAACTCGGATGTTACCATATGTCCAGCATCCTTGATCAGGCCAATATTGGAAACATTTGTCCTAAGAAGATGTTAGCATACATCATGTCAGAATGTGTTTTATGTCCCCTCAGAACTGATTGAATACAAAATTACACACTTATTTTGAAATGGAGAGTGCACTTTTAAATTCTAAAATGTAAACTGACCATGTCCACCTAACTCTCATTATACTCACAGTGAATTCCAAGAATACTATGGGATGGTAGGACCAAACATTGAGATATGATTTTATCACTTTCTGCATCTCTTGACAATGTTTAAATGCTAATGCATCCAGATTCAGGACTAGGTTGGATAGGAGATACCAGATCCTATGTGGTAGGCTGTAATGACACTATCTAGCCACCCAGGGCGCCAAGAGGATGCACATTTTCTGTATCCTCAGTTCACAAAGTGTTTTATACCAAGAAAGCATGTAGGGGCAGATGGGATGTTGCCCAGGGAGACTCAGAGGAGGAACATCCTCCTCTTCCCCACAGCAGCCAGCATGAGGGAAAGAAGAGGAGGCATTTTCTTTTGAGCCTCCTGTCCTGCTACCCACTTCCTGGCACCACTGCCAAGTGGTGGCAGGGAAGGGGGGAAATGGGGCAGGGCATGTCAAGCAACTATGCTTCCTTCCCTTTCAAAGAGGGCAAGCAGAGCAGCTCATTCTTGCTTGCAGCAGCAGTTGGCAGGATCCAGCTGCTCACTTGCCACTGAGGAAGCAAAACTGAGCAGCTGGTTCCCACCCACCACTACACCGGTTGTGGTTGCAGGCAGGATCCAGCTGCTAAGCATCATTTCCATAAGAAGAAGCCAAGCTGATTGGCCCCTATGCCCACTCCACATTGTCTGCAAACCTGCCAGAACAGGGGTTGAGCAGGTGGCATCTGAGGAGGCCAGCAGCCTTCCCCTGTGCTCCTGCCAATTACTCGAAAGCATCCTGGCATCAGCTGGAGTATGGCAGGAGGCCAATGACAAAGTGCTGCTTAGTTGCTTTTCCCACCAACATTGACAGGGGCCCCTTGACCACAGCAACAATCCAGTTTTGCTGCTCCAGCCAAGGACTTCTGCACCCTTCAGCTTGACCGTGAGTTATCATGTCATCTGCGTGCATATGGCATGTTAAGCAAGGGGGTTTTAATAAACTCCACTACAAGCCTTAGTTAGCCTGGATGGCTTATAAGCCCCTAGAAAGCAGCAGGGGTTCAGATGGCACATTAAGCCAGCCTCCCAGTGACTTATGCTGTACAAGCCAATGCTACAGGTACAGTTCAAGGAAGACAAAAGACAGTAAAATGCCTGCTGTTCAACATCTAGACTCATATAGAGGAATTATTAAGAATTCCATCAGCATGAGATTGGGGTGACTCAGATTAATTTCCTGAGTTAGTCACTGGTGACAATTTGTAAGCTCAACAAGGTCTAGTTAGGTTGCAATACTGCAGCAGTTGTGTCAGACCAATATCCGATTAAAGAACAGGAAATGGTTATATTACTAACAGTCTTGTGGGCTATGGGATGGCTCAACATACAAGGAGAAAAAATAACTTTTTAAAGGTGTTATTTAAATGAATAAATATTTCAACAGTTAAATAACTATTTAAAGGGGCTTTTGCTGACTGTTTGGCTATAGAACAGACCCTGTACCCCTTGGATATTGGTAGCCATAAACTATCCTAAAGTGTGTCTGGGAAGAGGTAGCAAAGGAAATTGCTCAGCAGTTTTTGACCAGATACAACTTGGAATAGTATCAGTCAAAGCTTTGTATGTATCAAGTACCCGGAGGAGAGCTTTCTCTGCGGTGGCGCCCCATCTGTAGAATGTGCTCCCCAGAGAGGTCTGCCTGGCGCCGTCGTTATTTGTTTTTCGGTTCCAGGCTGACCTTTTTATTCACACAATATTTTAATAATGTTTAATATTTATAGGTTTTAATTCTGCAGCTGTGGTGTTTCCGGATTTTAACTGTATTTGTACTATATTTATTTGTGTGAGCCGTCCCGAGGCTATATAGCAAGGGGATGGCATACAAAAACTTTAAATAAATAAATAAATCAAGGGGCTCAAAACAGGCAGATAATCCAAAGAATCACCCTATAGAAATTTCCCCTTTATGGTTAGACTAAAACACCCTCAAGGTGTGAGTAACTTCACTGGTTGTAGAGATTTCACCACTTTGCCAAGTCGATAAATCCCTCTACTGGGTTGAATACCCATTTGTTTAAAGTATCCTCTTTTGAATTTTACTCAGAAGGCTGAACAAACCTTTTGTTTTCAAGAAGGAAGTGCAGTTTCTGATACTTGAGATTTTTTTCACAGCAGTTTACATATTTTAGTCATGATAGACATGACATTAAGGTGTTTGTTTAAAGTGTACTGCGTAGAAAATGTGTTGGTTCCTGGATCAGTACTAGCGAAGGCTGACACTGGAAGCTTTGGACTCTTGCTCAATCCAGGTTCCATGACATGATGTCTGACTGATCTCTCACAGCAAAAGACCATCATCAAAATCCCACTTGAACTCAGAGAAACCTAATGAGAACAGGCCTACAGAACATAGAATGCAGCAGTTCTGCTGCTCATCCATAGCTTATGTTGCCCAGACAAAGCCTAGACTAGCCACTTAGGTCTATGTTTCACCACAGGTGATGATCCACAAAAGCCTCATCTTAAAACAGACCTCCAGTCCACAGGCTATCTGGGTCTGTGAAGCTCCTTGGGGTTCTCTGGATGGCAAGTCTTAGGATTCAAGCACCATCCCCTGAAAGAATTGCTGCAGAAGGCATACCCCTGCTGTTATTTCCAATTTGATCTTGGAGGCAAGAGCAGAAATTCTTCTGCTGGCACACAAGTGAGTACTAATGCACTTTAGCCCTGTTGCTCTTTTTCTGTAAGATAAGAAACAGCAGTAAGCACTGAGACTACGCTGGAGAGAGTGGCCACTCTTCCCAGGGTGGCTAATGTCCAATTTCCAGGTACCCTCCCATTGCTGCCACCATCTTTGATCTCCAGTGTGAGAAATCAGCAGGGTGGGTGATGGAAGAGGGAGGGCATAACTTATCTGTATCAGGGAGGCCATCCATTCATCCCTTCTCTAGGAAGTCCCACTGTCTCTCATTTGTCCTATTATCTCCAATGTCAGATCTGATATAGCAAAGGAGATGTGGGACAGCCTACATCTCTGTTTCTACACTGGAAGAGGCATAGCAAATAGTCTGTGTGGCAGGATGAGATAAGGAGCAGGGCCACCCCTGATATCTCATCTGCAGTAAGTGGGTGAAGAGTACTCCAGGCCTCCATTCCCAAAGCAGTTCTGCAGCCCTGTTTATAAGGACACAGTTTTCCTGTTGCCATTGAGACATAGCAGTTTCAGCTGTGGGAATAGGTCAGAGCCAGAAAAAGGTGTATGTGAAACTTTGTCTGTCTTCAGAGATCTTTCTAGTATTGTAACATCCACCCCGTTTTCTATGATGTTCATGTGTGTAATTTGGTTTGGAGTCCTAGCCACTTTGTAGTTCCTTATACTATTATTATTCCAGACTAGCCTGGGTTTCCCTTCATTGGAACAACCCACTTGTGAGAAAATATGATTTTCCAGATTTGTGGAAAAACAAATCTGATTGCACTAGGAATCAGACAGACCCCTTCTCTCCTCCTGTTTTGTTACTGTGACTTTGTCTCAGGACCAGCTGAAATCCAAGCTCGCTTCTTAGGACAGACCTCGTTTAACCTACTTCTCAAATACTTATCCCAGTCTTTTTTCCCTTGCTTCCAAGGGTTTATCTGATTTATTTAATCCCCAAATATCTGACCTTTAAGGCAGACAAACCATTCCTACAGCAGGCTGAAAAGTCGTGTCTAAAGCCTAGTTTAAGATCCAGAGGCAGCATCTGAAAGAACAATGCTAGTTTTTCTTGAAATGCAGCTCTCTTGCTTTGCATGTGTATGTTTGAACTGCAATTGCTCTATAAAGGGTGTCCTCTCAATTAATGACTGCATGCTTTATATTCTTGTTGTGTAATATTTATTTTATTTATTTATTTAGAATTTTTGTATGCCGTCCCATTCACATAAGCCTCGGGATGGCTTCCATACAACAAATAAATAGATAGTGCACATAAAATCCAGATTCACTCTGGCTGCAAAATTAAAACCAATAGATAGTATTAAAAGTTGTTAAAATATTGTTTGAATAAAAAGGTCTTGGCCTGGTGCCGAAAAACAAATAACAATGGCACCAGGTGGAGCGCTCTGGGGAGAGCATTCCATAGGTAATAAATCCATCCATGGTTGAAGAAGTTTGTGTGTATGTGTGTATAAGCTGAGTTTCCCCTCTTTGATATAGATGCACTATCACTAATGTTTAAAAGATACTTTTAAAGATGTGCAGTTTTAGGATGTGCACAAGTTTGTACATCATCTAAAAGGAATGCATTCTATAACAGTCTTACCTCTTTTCTCTCTTTCACATTTGTTAACATGACAACAGTTGCAGATTTCTGTTCCCATATCATCCTCCAGAAATCATTTACAGTGTCTTGCTTTGGACCTACACACAGGTAAATGCAGAACATCATAGCCTTGTTAGTAATTGGAGTAGCTAATAACCAGCGTATTATGCCTATGGTGAGGGAACAACACTGGCTCCATATATACTATGTGCCAGATGTAAAGGTTTGGTACTTCTTTACCAAGTTTACTGCTAAATCCTGATGAGTTAGCAGCATTCCTTTAAGTAACCGAGTGCTGAGTTGTTGAATAGGCACCAATCCTTTTTCAGCACCTACTAAAATCGTAAGATCTAAGTGACTGGGCAGTTCATACAGGAGAAAGCACTCCTTTTATCTTATGGAAATGGACTGCTAACAGCCTCCTGGGTTATATATTTTGAGTTTACTATATATACTGCCTGTTTTCAAGTACAGCTATATATAGAAACATAACAAGTCAGAAGGGGGTCTCCTGGACCATCTAGTCTGACCCCCAGCACAAACTGTCTCCGCTCATATAATCTCCAATGTGGGAATATCCAAACTTTCCTTAAACGCCCTCACTGATGGGACCTCCACCACCTCCTGTGGAAGTCCATTCCATATCCTAGGGGTCCTAACTGTCAGGAAGTACTTCCTGACATCCAGCCTAAAGCCCAATTCCTTTAGTTTTGCCCCACTGAATCACATCCTTCTCTCCATTACAGGCGTGAACAGGTCACAGTTGTTAAGGACTAAGACAAGGTGCTTGCCAAGTCCAATAAAACACCTGTTTGCTTGACCATTGTCCTCCATGGCTTATTACTTCTAATAAGGAGGGAGTATCAGGCTGAGTTCAGGATGCGACAGACTCCTGGAGTGAGGCAGTGGTGCCAGCCTCTTTAATGGAAATGGTAACTAGGCCACTTCTAAGGAAGCCTAAACTGGAAAGAAGAAAACAAGTACAGGTCAATAGCCAAGATCCCTTTCCTGGGAAAGGTGCTCAAGTGGGTGGTCGTTGGTAAAGCTCAGGCATTATCGAGATCCATTTCATTCAGTCTTCAGCCCAGTTGGGTGACCTTTGTCAGAACAGAAACAGTGGAAGTGCAATTATTTTTATTTCCTTGAATCTCTCAAAAGCATATAATGCCATAAATCATGGTACCTCTCTCACAAGGTTATCTGGGAGGCGCTACATTGAAGTGATACTATTTTTACATGGATGATTGATCCCAGAAGGTGGTGCTAGGAATTATTGTTCCACAGGGCTTATTATTCCACAGGGCTCAGTTTATCCCCTGTACTGTTCAACATCTACACGAAGCTGCTAGGGAAGGTTGTTCAGAAGTTTGCGCTAAGATGTCACCACAAGACACATTGCACTCAGCTTTCTCTCTTCTTTTGATCAAATCCAGGTGAAGCAGCTGCTGTTCTGAATCATTGCTGGGCACAGTAATAAACTGGATGGGAGCCAATAAACTGAGACTCAATCCAGACAAGATGGAAATAGTGTTAGTAAGAGGTTCCCATTCCTGGATGAATGATATTCAACCTATTCTGGAGCGGACTAGATTCTCCTTGATTGTTTGTAATTTGGAGAAATACTTGGATTCAATTTTTTCATTACAGACTTGGGTGGACTTGGTAGCATGGAGTACCTTTTATCAGTTTATGCAGACACACGCACTACATCCTCATCTGGACTGGATATCCTAGCTGCAGTTATCCATACTCTGTGGTAATCTCCTGGGACGTTATCAATGTGTTTTATATGAGGTTGCCTTTCCAAAAAAAATGGTATGGAAACTTCAGCTGGTCCAAAATAGGGCAGCAGAATTCTTAATGGGGACTGACCAATGTGACCATATTACTTTACCAGCTGCACTGGCTGCAAGGCCATGTCCAGACCTGATTCAGAGGGCTGGTATTAATATTCAGAGGTCTAAATGGCTTGGGATCAGGCTACCTGAAAGTTTGTTTCATGCTATATGTACTCTAAGATCATCCTCAGAGGTCCTGCCAAAGGAAATCAGGTGAGTGACTAGTAATATGAGGCCCTTTTTCTGTTGTGGAAACAAGTGTTTGGAATGAATTTTCCAGAGAGGCTCACTTGGCATCTAAATTGTACCTTCTCCAATACCAGATGAAGGCCTTCTTATTTTCCCAAAATATTGGTCATTTTTGTTTTAAATCATTTACTCTGTTTTAAAACTTGGTTTCACTGCTAGGTTGCACTTCAATTTTTACTTCTATTTTTACTGAAGTTTTACCAAATCTACAAAATTTTGAAGGATGTTTTATGCTTTTAAATAGTTGTAAGCCACCCAGAGAGTTTCACTTATTTGGTGGTATAGGAAATAATAAATATATAAATATTGACCTGAAATCTTGCCAATCATGCCAAATGGGCTGTTGTTATGTGCTATCAATTCATCTCTGATTTACAGCAACCCTTCCAAAATGGCCTATCCATGGCAACCCTGCTCAGCTCTTCTAAGTTAAACTCTGTGGTTTCCTTTATGGATTCAATCCATCTCATATTTGCTCTGCCTTTTCCTCCTCTGCCTTCAATTTTTCCTAGCGTGATTGCCTTTCTCCAGTGAGTCTTGCCTTCTCGTGCTGTGTCTGAAATATGAGAACTTCAGTTTTGTCATTTTTGCTTCTAAGGAAAGCTCTGGCCTGATCTGATCTCAGACCCACTTGTTTATCTTTCTGTTGGTCCATGATGTTCACTAAACTCTTTTCCAACACCATGTTTCGATTGCATCCATTTTCCTCCTGTTGGCTTTCTTCACTGTCTGGCTTTCACACCCATACATTGTGATTGGAAATACAATAGTGTGGATGATCTCAGCCTTGGTCTCCAGTGAAACATCCATATATTTATGATTTTTTCTAGTTTCTTCACTTTTGCCCTTCCAAACCTCAGTCTTCTTCAAATTTCTTGGCTGCAGTCTCTCTTTGAGTTGATAACTGAGCCAAGATATAAAACATCTTTCACACTTTTTATTTCTTCACTGTTAACAATTATGTTTTGTAATTCTTCTGCAGTTATGGTTTTTGTTTTCTTAATATTCAGCTGCAGTCCTGCTTTTTCTTCTTTTACTTCCATCAGGAGTTGTTTCAAGTAATTGCTGCTTTCTGCCACTTGTATAGTATCATCTGCATATCTTAAATTAATAATGTTTCTTCTGCCAATTTTCACTTCTTCCTGATTCTAATCCAGCTTTCCTTATGATACGTTCTGCATACAGATTGAACAAACAGGGGGATAAAATACATTCTTGTCTGTCACCTTTGCCTATGGGAAACCATCCTGTTTCTTCATTCAGGAGCTTCTTGTCTGAAATTCAGTTATGTACCAGGACATTCAAGTGCTGAGGCATACCCATTTCTTTCAGAATTATTCATACCTTCTTGTTATCCACACAGGCAAATGTTTTGCTGTAGTCTATAAAGCATAGATTGATCTTTTTTTAATTCTTTGCTGCACTCCAGTAGCCATGCATATTTGCAACATGATCTCTGGTGCCTCTTCCTTTTCAGCATCCAGCTTGGACATCCAGCATTGCTTGCTTCATAACACAGAATCATAGAATCACAAAATACTAGAGTTGGAAGGGGCCATGAAGGACATCAGGTCCAGCCCCCTGCTGTTGCAGGACACCAGTTTACACCATCCTACTCGTATGGCTGTCCAGTTTCTTTTTGTAGTATTCTTTGGTAGTATTTCTTTGTTGCAACACTTTGAGCATCACTTTGCTTGTGTGGGAAATTAATTCAATGGTCCTACGGTTGGTGCACTCTTTTGCATCCCCTTTCTTGGGCAGGAGAAGCCATTTCTTGAAACTGGAAATGTTCAATGTATTGTTTTGTTTTCCATATTTGGTGGCATAACCTTGTTTGTATTTGGACTGATTATTTTCTGCTGCTTAGAATAGTTCTTTTGGTATCCTGTCTAGTCCAGGTGCTTTATGCTTTGCCAGTGCTTTCACTTTGCTTTCTAATATTGCAGGCCCTTCCTCATAGGATTCCACCTTGAAGAAATTTGCCATCCTTTCAACTCTTCTGTACAGTCTTTCTGTATATTCTTTCCACCTTCTCTTTATTTTCTCCTGGTCAGATTATAGCTATAGGGGCCAGCACAAGAGCAATCAGCCTAGTGCTTGTGTAGCTTGCAGACAATTCAGTATGCATGCCAGTCACAAAAGTAACTGGTTACTGAAGGGATCAGATATCTGAAAGGGGATTCAGTTCAGATCAGTTTTGCTACTGGAATGGTCAGTTCAACTACCCACAGAGTGACACAACACTAAGAAATTCGTCATTGGTTCTCCCCACTCCTCTCAGTTACACTGATACTTTTAACTTCCCTCAACCATAAATATCTTCACACAGAATCACATAGTCGACCCAGCTTCCAGTTCCTCTATGACTTTCTTTTCTCCCTCCCAGTTGTTTTCTTTCCCTCCTCCCCAAAATAAACTCCAATAACAGCAAACTCTTTGGCATTCATTGTGAATGTTCTTGACTCTATCCCCTTAACTTTTCATAGATTCCAAAACTAAAATAATTATTTCTGCATACTCAGCACAAGAATGTAAAAACTGTATTCCCCCCTTTTTAGTGGTTACCTTTCACTTATATGTGAATAGGCAACTATTTGCCATTAGAGGGAATCAATATTATTATTACATGCTTATCTGAGACAGAATTAGAGGCATACGGCTTCCTTATCACAGTAGCACTGGTTTAAATAGTTGGAGGTGGGGGATGATGTCAAATGTCCCTAGCATTTTGGCGTACAACTTTTATCAGCCTTAGCCAACATAGGCAATTGTAAGGAAACATAGGAGTTGTAGACCAAAACATCTGGAACACCAGAAGTCACTCACCTCTGGTTTAAATAGCATGGAGAAACTAAAGGAAGGTTGCATCTTTCACATGCATAATTTTTTAGACAATTTGAAATAGCAGTTTGATCTTGCAGACCAGCAAGATGCCAGAATACTATATTACATAAAATAAAAATAGAATACATTATACATCATAAAATTTGAAGTTTTGATTGGACTCATCATAAGATGAACCCAAAACACACATTTCTGATGTGTACTTTTGTATTTGCAGTTATGCAGAACAAAACCTTAAAAATGGAAAACTGGAAAATACCTTGAGCTGCTATAAATTTATTTTTTTCCTTGTAGCCCTGAGAGAAAAAAGAGATATGCCATTATTGTAATAGAAAATACATTAAAAGATGCATTTTAAAATACTCAATCTTCTGCTTTTTTAAGTCTAGTAATTAAAACAGAAAATCTATCTGCTTACATCTATGTATGAAGCATTAATGTAGTCTGAACTCTGAACTCCATCTACCTGCATTAACATTACTCTGGAATGATCATCTGTAAAGCACAAACATACATAATTAGAACCTTTTATGACAAATCTGTAAACAGTGTTTATAACTATCTGAAATACATTTTCCTTTCAAAAATGAAACAAACTGTTAAAATATTATATCCCACCTAATGTGTATTATGCACATAATAGGAATAGGAATAATATTCCTATTATGCCAATAGGAATGTTGCATAATAAATGCCAATAGGAAAGTTGCATAATAAATTGTTTATAAATATTATGGCTTCTAAATGGAGTGAGACCATATGTTTGCATGACTCAGAGAATGGAGTTTTTCAAGTATTATTGTGGTCAATACAATATTGAAAATACAAATTGTTATTAGAGAAAAACTTAGTTAATACTTTTTAGATCTTTGCACTGCTGCTTGTTTATATTTTGGCTTTAGCCTGTTGCTGTTTTAGATGCTAAGTTATGTTACTCTTTATTATATTCTTATGTTTTATTGTTTCATTAATCATACAGAAAATGTCAGTTATTGGGCAGTTCAGAAATGTAATGCATATATTCATGAAATTTAAAATATTTATCTCATTTCAATGCTGCCCCATACAAAGGTCTCTCCACAGCTTACAATAAACAAATATAAAAACTATTTAAATACAAAATAAACATAAAGCCATAACAAATGCAGCATAAAACACAACAAAACAAACTCCAAGCATTGCAAAATTAAACCCAGAGATTTTGAAACTAAGGAGACCAGGCTACCTGAATTACAAACTTGTGACTAATGGATTTATTTGGGGAATATATTTTCATAGAATAAATGCCCCTTCAGATGTGCGATCTCTTATCAACATTTGACACACACAAGTTTTCAGTATACGCTAAAGAGATTCTGATGACTTTGGAGGAAGTGTTCAGCCTGAAGCAGTAGTTTGGAGTACTGTATCTGTACAGATGGGAGCAGGGGCCAGGAGTGCCCTTTACTAACTTCAGTTGATACATAAGTCACATCCCATTCTGAATTTTAGTTACCTCCAGGTTGCATTCTTGTAATGTACTCCACATGGGCTTTCCCCCGAAGTAGCCCAGAAACTTGAGTTGGCCAGAAGCCTATGGCTAAAATATCAGCTAAGATCAGCAAGACCATATAATGCAATTCTGTGTACCAAGTTTATTGAAGAAAAATGTTTCCAAGTTCAGTTCAGATCACTGGGATTAGTCTTTAAAGTCATAAAAGAAGGATGGGGAACATGTGGGCCTACAGAGTGCAGGTCCCATCATCCCAAGACAACACAGTCAATGGTAAGGGATGATGGGAGTTGCGGTCCACCATATCCAGAGGGCCACACATTCCCTATCCATCTCCAAAATGGATTTGCTCCAGGAGTTGTTCTACTGACAAGAAGCAGCTAGAAAACTTTGTTCTGCCTTAAACTTGGAGGTCTTTGTCCTACATGAAAAGCTATTGGTGGAAAAGGAAATGAGAAAGAGGATCTCTTCAGTTGTGCTTCCCACACTAGAGGAATTCTACCTATCTAGTCCAGTATGGTCTTGTTGACCAGTAATTGTTTTTCAGAGGTTTGCTACCTCTGATCCTGGAGGCTCATGAATAGTAGCCATTATGTTTGCTGAATCCCATTCAAAGCTGTCTAAGTCAGTGCTTATCACCACATCCTGTAGAAGTAAATTCTGCAATTTAACATGCACTGTATAATGAAGTACTCTTCTTTTCATCTGTCCTGAATCTCCCACCATTCTGTTTCATGGGATGGGGCTTGGTTCTACCAGAATGGCTTCCCAAGAGCGCCCTGTGTGGCACATACATTGCCTGCTTTAAGCCTGCACTGAAAATTATTTCCTTTCAGTAGGTGTCATCTAGTTAAGTAAAAACAGCTTGAATACATCTTTACTTATGCAAAATATGTGAAATAAATGTTGTAATACATACATACATACATACATACATACATAAATTAGTTGAGAGGGCAATGGTATTAAACACTTAGGTCATAAAATGAAATAAAAGTTACTGATCAATTTGAGATCAGTGAGTTTACACTGCTGTCCTCACTTTGAAGTTTCATTGAAGAAGCATGTTCACCTTCAGGATGTCTTAGACTCTCTAAATGTTCTCTTTTCATTTCTGATGCCACATTTGTGTCTATTTATTCTTTTGAGTAGAGGCTGACCTGTTAGTTATATGAAGACAGCCTGAGGGCAGGTTGATAGGTAATACAAGTTCAGGTAGGGGATTAGCAAAGTAATAATGTACATGATTACTGTAGTCTCCTACAGCTTCCAGCTAAAACCATTCAAATACTTCACCAGTGATGTACCTAAATGATACCAGCTTTAGTTGTAGGCCTGCTTTTGTTTGCAGACAGTATCACATCTTACATGATTATTCAGCAATACATCATAGAAGTGAGCCACAAATCCATTGACGAATCACCTCGGTCCCACATCTAATCAGACAACAGTATTACAGAACCTAACAACATCAGGAATTCATTCACATACACATCTATCAACATGACATAGAAATTCATGATACAGATACATGTCATCACTTATCAACATTTGCATTGCTGAATTAGAGTTTATCAGTAAGTTTCATTCTATTTGTATAGCCCTTAATCAAGACAATGACCCACATCATATGCATCAATAACCCATTGACTGTCTGCTACACTGACATTTTCCATTTTACTGCAAAATCCACCGTCAGTGTCTGAACCTGGAATGATGTATTGTTTGAGCTAAACAACCTAGGGTTAACTGCTTGGTTGTTCAGTCCCAACATAAACCAGCCATCCATGGTTCAGATGGCAGAACCTTATAAAGAAGAAAGTTGTGGTTTATGAGCAAAAGCAGAAGAGGCAGTAATGCTGCAAGCATCTGCATGCTTCTTTACAACCTTTAAAAAATAATGGGTTATCTGTGCCTCTCTTCTCCATTGAAAGATGTTAAAAAGCAAAGCTAGAAAGACTGCCTAGTCACCATTTTCGCCATTGTGAATGGTTATTCAATACACTTGAAAACATTTAAGCTTCACCCATTTTTAACACTATACCTCTTGAATTCCAAGAAGTATAGTGTTAACTGTTACTATTACTGTTTATAATTGTTCTCAGGTAATTGTGAACTGAAGTTAACAGCTTCATGTATCAAATAAAGCAGACTCTATTCCTTAAAAGCTTACACAACATTAATATGCTAGCTTTTAAGGTGCCATGGAACCATCAGTTCTAATACAGGTTAATATAGTGAATTGTCTAGAAAAAGTTAAGACTATCCTGAATATTCCAAATGCATGACTTATATTGAACACAGAAACATTTAAATACATACAAGGTAATATGTTTGGATATCTGTTTTTCTCTCTGTTTTCCTCTTTATTTGCCATCTCAAGTGTACCTTGCATACATCCAGGTGGTAATGACTGCAGAAAAAAATAAGTTGTGTCAGTTCAAAACAGCACCCTATAATAAATAGTTAAACAAATCTGTTTAAACAGATTTCTTCCCAGATCAGAAAAATACTTCAGGTCCAAACTAAGATGTGACATTTACCATATAGTTTCCTTCTCTGCAGTAATTCATTTAAAAAGCAAACACCCAGCAACAATAAACTAGAGGTATCAACTTCACAACTAACAACAACAACATTAGGAAGGCCAGCTTGGATTTGGGTGATGATATGTATGCAGAGACAAGAAGGGAACTGGAAGTTTTGTCCCTACAACAATCCTGATCAGAATTGCTCTCTGCTTAAGGGTTATCCTCCTATGCAAAGTAGAAGGCCTTCTTAGTGGTAGCCCTGCAACAGGACCTACTGAGGTCCACCTGGCATCAACATGGTCAGTTCTGGTGCCAAGTTAAGCCTGTATTCGCAGGCATTTGATGGCAGATGATGTAGCTTTTCATGGTTGTTTTATTGGGTCCCAGCATTGTACTGTAAAGGAAGGTTGCCTGCCTATAACTGTCATTCTTTGAGTGGTCATTTGTAGCATATAGGCTCGGGACCTGTATGGAGCCTCCCTTCAGAAAGTTTCTATAGCTGAGAATGTTTTAGCAGGAATGTCCATATATCTGAGAGGGTTTCCACCCATTCCCTTCAGTTCTTCTTTGACTGCTACTGTGGTAGCCTATCTCCCTCCTCCCTGTAAAATACACTGTGGTCCCAATCCAGGTTGAGTAACCTCATGAGTTTATGCAAAGAAAAATTAATTATGCAAGAGCAAAATAACTGATAATCATCACATTTTGGTTCAAGTTGTTAAGAAAATGGCAAATTTCAAGAGCATTAAAAAACAGCAATCCTCAGACATTTCTTCTCAAAGCTACAGAACAAAGCATACTGGTGAGATTAGACAGTTTATCAGTTGATAAGGAAGTCTTTTCGTATAGGTTACTTTTTGTCGCCACAGCAAATACAAATTTGTTGTTTGTGGTTTCAATATTTGACTCCACCCACTAACTTTTTATTCTCCTTAAAGGAACATAAAGAAAGTAGAAGGCTTATTGTGACCAATTATAAAAGAAAATGGTGCAGATTATTTAAATAAACTGGCTTTTCCTTAATTTCTCTTCAAGAGATTTGTCAAAGAATAAGATGCCATTTAAATTAAAACAGTGTTAAGTTTAATTATTCTGTGCCTCAGAAACCACTTCTTGCAAATGCATCAGAAAAATTGTGTAAAACTGGTAAACTGAACTTCTCTTTTTATATGAAACTGCAATACAGAGTAAGGCAAAGAAGATAAATGTGTTCCTATTTCAGAGTTCTGTAGAAAAACCGAGTGCAGGACAAAACAGAACTTTCCCATGTTTCTTAACCCTCCTATCTTGTTCTCATAAACTATCCCACATATGTTAACCCTCCTGCCTAGTTCACACAAACCATCTGAATTTTGATCTGGAAGTCCTGATCCTAAAACTCATTATGTACAGAATAGGGTCCTCTTGGCACAAGATAAATGCTCTACTTAAGTAATTTTATCCTGGCCACTTCATGCCTCCAGAATGGCATGAAATTTACATTTGCCCAGTTAGCAGCATTGGAAGTAAACATAACCCAGAGGGCCTTGGACACATCGCTACAGGAATCTTGAACCTCCTTTTATTCTTATGGCCAAATACATTTTGTAGAAGTTCTCATGACCACATTCCAGTGATGAATGGAACTGAATACAAACAGTGATGTGACAAAACATTTAGCATCTTTTAGCAAGTCTATAAGGCTAAGGAAATGCCTTTCGTGCATTTAGAAAGGGCAAGAAACTGACCCCAAACCAGGAAACCACTGAAGAGTTGACAGCTGAGGAAAAGGGGATGTAGCTGGGACAGGGGGGCACGATCCTCTTGAGAACCGTTGGGTGAGACCCCCCAGGAGCACCAGGCTGGCATCTAGGCCTGAGCTTCTGTGCCCTTTTACCAGAACACTGGTGATTAAGACATAGATAAGAAAATAAGTTGTTCTTCCCCAACTCCCCCACATGATTTCTTACCTTTTGTTACTTAAATAGTAACAAAAGTAGTAGCATTTCAAAGTTATCTTACATATGAAGATGTTTCTAACCTATATTGTATTTGTAATACAATTTAATCTTAAATTCTTCTGGGATTTACATTAAGTGTCCCCTCTTTTGCATAGCATTTATTAATCTTGCTTTCAAGATCTTTATGGAGCCCTGCACAGTTCTGAAGATGTACTAGTTGGTGACAGAGATGAGCAAAATGCCATCACAGACATGAATAACATGTTGGTGTTTGGATTACTCCATTTCAGATTACTAAATCTTCCTCTTATCTCCCCCAGGCCCTACTACTGTCAGTCAGTTTTCTATACCACTTAGCATGCTATAATATTTGGGTTGTTTTTGGACTCCCCACTTTCAGGGATTTTCCTAAAGCCTGAAACTACTGCAGTTCCTTTTCTCTTGTGCATTAGTTGTCATGAGCACATTTCCCTCCTCCTTTCCCTTTCTAGCAGACTAAAACAGAAGCTCATAAAATACAGTCCTTGATTAGAACTTTACAGGTTTAGCTGTGATATAGGCCATTTTGTATGAGAGCTGTTAACTGGTTGCATAAATTGGGGCAATGCTCCCTCTGATCTGTGGGAGTAGCTTCTGCCCATATGTTCATTTACTTTCTTCCTTTTCCCAGAGTCTTGACTGCAGGGTAAGAGTGGTTCACATTGCTTGTGGGGTCACTTTGGCTATGTAAGAAACAGCACTCACAATACTAACAGAGGGAATTATTTGTATCATTATCAGAATTATCAGCCCACTCGATATACAGTTATCGCTTTTTTCTTCCATTCCTCTTTTCTTCCATTCCCCATCAAATACATAGCATACCATTTGACCATCAAACACTTAAAAGCTGGATGACTTTTATTTGTCTATTTGAGGAATTTATTTATTCCACATGAAAAGATAAACATTCATTTGACAGAGATATAGCACTGTGAAAACATTTAAATGAATGACCGCAACATAAATTGCTGACATATTGCAGAGCTGCTAACTACAGGGCTCACTTCACACTGAATTATAGGTTTAAAGGGCACTACCTCATATTTGAGACAATTTAATTGGCAAGATGAGCTCATTTTAAAAAGGGGGAGCAGATTGTCTATTGCCATAGCTACTTCCATTGAAAATTGTTGAAAACTGATTATGAATAATTTAGTTTTGAATAAATTAGTTATGTGAAATTCAGTTTTACATGGCTCCTCATAAGAGCTCATAAAACAGAGCCAGCAAAGTATGATCCTGTTTGCTACTCAGCTCGTGGCCAGGCTAAGACACCCAAGAAAACTCACATATGCAACCACAGTATAGCAGGAAGCAGAACAAGCTTTCTTTCTGACCAAAGTGGGGAGACGTTTAACAAGAAACCTTAAAGCCTACAAAAGCAGCCCCTGACAGACTATAATTACTGGGCAGCAAAGACTCAGAATCTTGATTAGTACTTAAAATCTCTTAGGTTATGATTAACATGCCTCTTTTTCCTTAAATCTGGCACTACGTTTCTTCATAGGGAGAAGGTTCTCATACATTGCTGATATCAAAAAGAGGCCCACAGATGGTTTTGAAAATCTGAGAAATGTCCAATCTCCCACTCACCAGGCTAAGCCAATGGCTGCACATTGCTATCATGGTTAGACTTCTGTAATATTCATGTACATGGGCCTGCACACTATTTTAGAGAGATACTGGAGTTCTGTTTGGGATAATTTAGTGACAAAATATCTTTTTCCCCTCTAGAAAGATACTTTACTGATATCACTTTTCTTTTCAACAAGGCTTTATGGTATGAGAAACTTCATGGTTTCATAATGTTGAATATGAAAGCTGGATTTGTATCTCTTAAGTGTGAAAGTAGGGTCCTATAGGAAAGAAAAGTAATTCAGTTCAGCAAATATTGGAAAGCGTCATCAGGTCTGGACAATATGACCATCACCAATACGACCATCCAAAGTTAAGATTCCCCATCAGTTTCGCTGCCTTTCACTGTTCAGTATTTCTCAGAGGGCGCAGTCAACACTAAGCCACAGATGCTCACTCAGAATTGGAAATGCTGTAAAGCAATTTTGCAAAGAACCTGGAGAAGCAGTTAAGAAATCAGCCAAAATGGGGGACAAGACCCAACACTTATTTCCGGGAAGGAATATCACTCTGAACCAAAAACAATTGAAAAACAACCAGGCAGAGCAGAACAGCACTCTGGAACAAACTGAAAAAGGGGAGGCATTGTAATAATCAAAAACATGAGAATGAAGCTTTCTTTTGAATTCAGGCAGAGCAGTAATTGAGAAAAGAGCTTTAAGGTTCTACATGCCCACTTTCATATATGATCCTGTGCTGGAAGGGAACAGTGAACCCAGTCCCCTCCGTGATACTGCTGGAAAATTTGGTCTTATCCGTAAAATTTTGAACATGCTAAAGTCCAAACTAAATGTTCTCTTAATCATGCATAGTGGAGTTATGCATATTTCCCCCTACTCTCCTGCAAATGCATATGATCCTGATTTGGACTGAGGCCATGGCACTTTGGGAAAGAAAGGTCTCAGTCCAAATCAGGATCACATACATTGAGCTTTCCCCTCACCCTTGTTTAAATAAGAATGGCTGCAAGGAGGAGCGTAACCCATCCTATCCCAAAGCCCCATGGTCCCCAAAAAACCAGAACTGCATGTACTTACAGGAAAATAGTGAAAACAATTTTGCATACCTGCATTATGCATGATTAGTTTCACTCTTTCAAAATGGTACATTTGCCTTCCTGCTCAATGGGCAGCATTGAATAAAGTGCTTACACCCTATTAGTTCCCTTTTTTGCTGTCAACTCCTGTACTGGAGAATAAAGATTTAGAGCCCCACAAAAACCAGGAAGGAGAAAAGTGCTTATTTCTGAAATGGGGCAGGTCAGCAAAGCTCATATAAATAAGGCCCACTAACATGTCCTGATCTGAAGCAAAGTTTGGGAAGTGTTGAATGTCTGTTGCACAAGAATGGTCCTGCTTGTGCAACACAATCTCCCGGGTACAAAAAAATCAGTGAGGACACAGGCACCCTATTGAATACCATCCTATGAATCTGTACAATCAGTAGCAGAGTTTATAGAATATAGACTTCTAAAAGATTGTAAGACAAATGCAAAATTGGTCCTATATTCATTCTTCCTTTAGGTCACTTATTACACAGCATTTTTATTGAAGAAAAATAACAACTGCTACTACTATTAGGTTGACTTACATTAAATTCTTCCCGAAATAATTTCCCATCATCAGCTGCTCTTATTCTTATTTCCTCTTCAAGGTGTTCCACTGGAATAGGAAAATATTTCTTTGGGCCAGAGGGAGACCGCCTAAGAAGCATAACTCTTTGCTGTTCTGTCAAAATAGGATACAAGGCAGTGCATTTTTATTGCCATTTAACAACTTTATTCATTTATTTATTTAGGAAATGTATTTTTATAACTGATTTTAAAGGACATCAGAAAGCATTGAACAAGCAATCTTACAGTATTAGTGTGAGCAAAAATAGGCCAAATAACACATTCAGTGGTATGTGGTAGACTTAAAATAGTGCAAGAACCTATGGAAAGCAATCTCAAATCCTGGGTTGTGTCCCAAAATAAATAATTTACTGTAACATATGTGAAATACAATTCCTTTTGGCATTAACTTTTCTATTAATTAGACTATAACCTTAGTTATAGTTCCATGGGTAGACAGAATAATTTATACTTTCATAGCAAGAAACTCAGCTTCATTAGATTTACTTTTAACTACATCTGGACTTTCAACATAGGGAATGTTTAGAGGACCTCAGAGACTTAATGAATAAATAAGTCAGGCACTGTGGCTGAGAAGTAAAGATGGAACAAGGATAAAATGCCAAGATATCCTTAAATGAATGTGAAATGACATGCATGATATAAAGACTTCCCTATCAATGGAACTGGTAAAACCTGTGCCTTGGCTGTGTATCAAACAGAAAACCAGCATGTCTTTAAGAAGAGTTCTCACCACTTTCCCTGGCAGCTAGTTTTCTTTGTGCAGGGAACTTTTGTAATAGAGTAACATTTAATCAAGTAAACCTTCAATCTAAAATCCTTCCATCCACCTGAAAGTTTACAACACAAGTAAAACCAGTCAAATTAGCAGGAATGGGAATGAAAGGGAACATGATAGCAAAGGTAGCAATATCGAAATATCCAAAAGGATATTGTAAAATGAGAAACAAAAAGCTACAGCTAGTGTGACTGAGGAAAGGTAAAGAAGAAAAATTTGCAAAACATGTTCCAGAACAGTCAATTAGATTTCAAGGGAAACAAAGAAAGGAACACATAATTATAAGAAGAATTGTGTAGTAAGGGAACATGTTAAAACTCTTTCTTTCTTGGAAACTTTGAAGATGACCCAGTGAGCATCTGTTGAAATTTGTTACATCTAGGGAAATGTGATATTAGATGAGGTAGAACTGGACTGTTCCTTGATGCTTACTCCAATTATATAATTTTATGACATGACAATATTTGACCTGAAAGCAGAAGAGTTTCTATCTATTCTATCTATTCACTATCCCTTTAGATACTGTAAAACATTCTGTACACTGAAAAGCATTAAATGTATGACATTTCTGGAAAAGTGGGTTGGAGTCAGATAATCTTACTTAGAGTGGACCCATTGAAACATAGAACACAGAGCGAGTCAGAAGGGACCTCTCGGGCCATCTAGTCTGACCTCTGGCACCAGCCGGCTCCGCTCACAACATGCCCACCATGTGGGCGTCCAGTCTATCCCTGAACACCCGCACCGATGGGGCCTCAATGACCTCTCGTGGAAGCCCATTCCACACCCTCGGGGTCCTGACTGTCAGGAAGTGCTTCCTCGCATCCAAACGAAACCTTGGCTCCCTGAGCTTTGCTCCATTGGAGCGCGTTCTGCCTTCCTCTGCAGGGGAGAACAGGTCTCTACCCATCTCTATGTGACATCCTCTCACATACCTGTATGTCGCCAACATATCCCCTCTGAGTCTCCTCTTCTCCAGGCTGAAGAGACCCAGTTCCCTCAGTCTCGCCTCATACAGCATCCCCTGCAAACTGGCCACCAACCTTGTGGCCCTACGCTGCACTGACTCCAACCTGACTATATCCTTTCTGTAATGAGGGGCCCAAAACTGAACACAATACTCCAGTTGCGGGCGCACTAGAGTCATGTAGAGTGGTAGTAATACCTCTCTTGATCTAGAAGCCACACTTCTGGCTATGCAACCAAGGGTGGTGTTCGCCCTCTTGACCACTGCATCACACTGCTGACTCATGTTTAGCCTGCAGTCAACCAGTACCCCGAGGTCCCTTTCACGAGTGCTGCTCTCCAGCCACTTGTCACCTAACCTGTACTTATGACAGCTACTCCTATGCCCCAAGTGCAAGACCTTGCACTTATCCACATTGAATGCCATCCTGTTGTCTCCTGCCCACTTCCATAGTCTGTCCAGATCCTTTTGGATCTGGAGTACCTGCTCCTCAGTTGTGGCCACTGCTCCAGTTTTAGTGTTGTCTGAGAATTTGATCAGGAGACTGTTCACCCCTTCTTCCATGTCGTTAATGAAAAGATTAAACAGGATCGGCCCCAGGACAGAACCCTGGGGGACCCCGCTTGTTACTGGCCGCCATCCCGATGATTCTCCACTAATGGTTACCTTCTGCTTTTGGTCAGTCAACCATGCCCTAATCCACCGGACAGTGCTTTGGTGTATCCCAAAACTCCTCAGTTTCTCCACCAGGATATCATGGGGCACTTCGTCAAAGGCCTTGCTGAAATCCAGGTATACCACATCCACTGCATCCCCTCCATCTAGCCATTGTGAAACCTTGTCATAGAATTCCACAAGGTTTGTCTGGCAGGACCTGTTTTTGCGGAAGCCGTGTTGTGTGGCTGTCAGCCTCCCTTCCCTATCTAGCATCACTAGATCTCTCTCTATTATGAGCCTTTCCATTGGTTTTCCTATAATGGACGTAAGGCTAACCGGTCTATAATTCCCCATGCCCTTTCTACTACCCTTTCTGAAAATTGGGACCACCGATGCCACCCTCCAGTCCTCTGGAACTTCACCCGTTTTCCACGAGGTCTCAAAAATGGAGGCCAGCGGGCGTGAGAGAACCCCTGCCAACTCTCTAAGTACTCTCAGGTGTAACCCATCAGGGCCTGGAGCCTTTGTAATGTCTAATGCCCTGAGGAGCCTCTCGACTTCAAGGGGGGTGACCCTAATCTGTGCTCCTAAGTCCCCAGCCTCATCTAATCTCCTATGCAGATATCCCCCGTCCTGCTTTGGGGAGAACACAGGCAAAATAGTCATTTAGCATCTGTGCCTGTTCCCTCATATCAGTCACTAGATCTCCTTCTTCCTTATTTAGTGGTCCCACCACTTGTCTCCCCTTCCTCTTCCTATTTACATGATGAAAGAAGCCCTTTTTATTGCTCTTGATATTCTTGGCAAGTCTCAGCTCATAATCAGCCTTAGCCTTGCGAAGAATCCTTCTGCAACGGGCCTCCTCCTCCCAGTATATCCTTTTGTCTATTTCCCCCAGTACCCATTTCCTATGGAGGTTCCTCTTTCGTCTAATCCCTCTAACCACCTCCTTTTGCATCCATGGCGGCACTCTCCTCCGCCTCCCCACCTTACTGGCTAGAGGTATCGTCCAGGCTTGCGCCTCCAAAACCTCTCTTTTGAGTGCTATCCACCCATCCTCAACTCGCTTACCTTCCTGTAACCTATCCCAGGAGACTTTCCCCAGTGTGGCCTTCAGTTGGCCAAAGTTGGCCCTCTTGAAGTCCCAGCTTCTAGTGCTCGACCTGCTGTCCGTCCGCAGTCCCCTGATCTCAAAGCAAAGGATGGAGTGATCACTCGCATCCAGAGCTCCCCTAATCTGTACTTCATCTATCAGCTCCTTCCTATTGGTCAAGACCAAGTCAAGGATGTTTCCCCCCCTCATCGCCTCTCGGACCCTCTGTGTGAAAAACACTCCCTCAATAGCTTCTAGGAAGCGACGTGACCTGGCTGTCACTGCCAAGTCTCCCAAGTAATATCCGAGAGACTGAAATCTCCCATAATTACTGTCTCTCCCCCGAGATATCCTTAGAAGCTGGCCTATCAGGACATCATCCAGGGTCTCAAGTTGACCTGGAGGGTGATAACATACCGCCGCTGTCAGGTCTCTTTCCCTGTCAAAACCCCTAAGTTTCACCCAGACTACCTCTACCAAATCCCCATCTGTGCTGCATTCTATCTCACTGCATCCTATCCCTTCCCTGATGTATAAGGCCACACCCCCACCTCTCTTTCCCATTCTGTCCTTTCTAAAAAGGTGATACCCTTCTATGTTCAAATTCCAGACTTGCCTTTCATCTCACCAAGTTTCTGTGAATCCCACCAGATCATACCCTCCTATTCCCAGGAGAGCTTCAAGCTCTTCCTGCTTATTACCCATTTATTTATGTATTTATGTATTTATGTATTTATTAAAACATTTTTATGCCACCCCATTCGCCGAAGCCTCGGGGCAGCTTACAACAATAAATTAAAATAATTATAATCTTAAATTAAAAAAATATAAACATTAGATTAAAAATACAAAAATACAGTATAAAATAAGCCGCCCTGGCCAAATAAAATTCAATAATATTAACATTTAAAATACTGCTTAAATAAAAAGGTCTTCGCCTGGTGCCGAAAAACAAATAACGACGGCGCCAGGCGGACCTCTCTGGGGAGCGCATTCCATAACTTAGGTGCCACCGCTGAGAAAGCCCTCCTCCGAGTAACCACCCTCCTAACTTCTTCCATGGAGGGCTCCCGGAGAAGGGCCTCTCCCGCCGATCTCAGGGGGCGGCTGGGCATATAAGGATGTAAGCGCTCCTTCAGGTAACCAGGACCCAAGCAGTTTAGGGCTTTATAGGTCATCACCAACACCTTGAATTGGGCCCGGACTTCAATGGGAAGCCAGTGAAGCTGACGGAGGACTGGAGTCACGTGAACATAACGCCCAGTCCCCGTCAGCAACCTGGCAGCTCTATTTTGAACCAATTGAAGTATCCTGACCGTCTTCAAGGGTAGCCCCACGTAGAGCGCGTTACAGAAGTCAAGACGGGAAGTCACCAGCGCATGTGTCACTGTCGCAAGGCAGTCGTACTCCAGGTAGGGGCACAGCTGATGAATCAGCCAAAGCTGGAGGAAAGCGCTCCTCGCCACTGCTGTCACCTGAGCTTCCAGTGAAAGCTCCAGGTCGAGGAGCACTCCCAAGCTGCGAACCTTGTCCCTAAGAGGGAGTGCAACCCCATTCAGAACAAGGTTCAGTTCACCCTCTCCGAAGCCCGATCCGCCA